TATCTGTAATTTAGTTACAGTTACTTCTGATGTAATTGATACTGTGTATAGATCAATCCAATCTCATAGGGATTCGTATGCATTTTATGAGGTGTCTAAATCGTACGACCGCACTTGTACAAATTCGAATGAATTATTGTAAAATATGTATGAAAAAACTGTGAAATGTCATGAGATCAGACAAAACAATAGTGGGTTTAGCATCAAAATGTATTGTCTGATGCTAAAAAGTATGTATTTATAATGTAACCTTCTCCACCTTGGTCAGTTTAAGGATAATTCATGCACTTTTATAGTATTTATTTGAAAGAATTAAAACAGATTCATGTCTATCCTTGTATTATTCAGCTGATTTAGATTGATATGGGATTTTGAAAGTAATTAGTAATTAAATATTTTTTAGAGAGAGTAATTAGTACAGTAATCTAATTACACTGTTGAAGAGGTAATTAGTAACTAGTAATTAATTACTTTTTTAGAGTAACTTACCCAACACTGCTCACACGTCAAGCGAACATGCTTGAGCTTCCGTTCACCACAACTGATGTGAGTTGATCAATGTTTATATGTGAATAAAAGCCTAAATTAAATCTGTTCATCATGTAAAGTGATCAAGTCTCTTCAGAAATTTGGACTAAACCGTTCAATTCGTATGGATTAGTTTTACGATCACTTTATGAACCTTTTGAAGTGTCAAAGTGGTATTGACGTAGATGTCAATGAGGGACAGAAATCTCTCAGATTTCATTAAAAAAAATCTTCATTTGTGTTCTGAAGATGAACAATAGTCTTGGCGGTTTGAAATGACATGAGGATTAGTAAATGATAATTTAAATTTTTGTGTGAACTAATACTAAAAGTTTTTAATTGATTGTATTTAATTGCATGTAGAGTAAGCCTTCCTCCTCGCCTGGACACTTTTGATCCTGACAGTGTGACTAAAACAGCCCATAGCTCAGTGTGTTAATGTTTCAGCACTTCTGCAGAAAACCTGTTTAAAAATAATTTTGTGTTTGAGGGAGCGGTCAAACATGCTTTCCACAGATGACTATATGAGTCTCTTCATAATTCATATGCTAAAGGAAGATGTCAGGGGAAACGTATCTTTAGATGGCAAGTGAAAGATGCGCATGGGGGGGAAAAGAAGTGCGGCAAATGCTTTCACCTGTCAGAGAGCCTCGGGGACTTTATGGCCTATATGGCCTTTATGGGACTTTACAGTCTTTATTCTTTCCAAAATCAAACTTTGTTTGCATTTGCATTTGCATGAGACGTCAGAGTACAAGAATGCAGGTAGCAGTACATGGAGCAAATGCATGTAAAGAGGTTAAACATGCAGTAATCATTACCGAAATAAACTCGCTAGTTGCGTATTTTCTTCCCTGTATTGTGACGTAAATCAGAGTGAAACGGCCTCTGGAACAAGAATAAACACGTCATCAGAGAAGAGAAGAGGCGGGAGGGGAAGTTACTTTTATTACAGATTACGAGGAACACATGAATTTAAAAAATAATGATGTGCACAGATAAATCATTTATAATAAATACTGAAATATTACATGAAATGATTCCATGGTGACTTTAAAAGCATTACTGTGTCTTGGACCTCAAAACTCGTGCTTTATAAAAAGTAATAACTAACCTCTATTTTTCATTAAACAATGATTTGCAATGTCTTGTTATACTTTTATGTCATGATTTTAGCCCAATTTTACATCCACAAAATGAGAACAAGCGTCTGTGTTTACATCGCTGATCTATATCGAAACTCTTTCAGGAATGCATGACGAACCATTTATGTAAATGCTATGTAGTAGTATATTTTATTATCCTCGAGAGGAAATTTGCTTTGGACTACAATGGTTGCTGCAAATGTAAATTTTACTATTTTATGTAAATTTTACTATTTTATAACGACTTATAACTTTTATTTTAATTTAAGATGGAATATTGATGTAAATTTGTGATTTATTTAATTAATTAATGAATGTAATAAATTCAATAATAAAATGACTTACAACCCCCACTGTAAAAAAAATATTGTTGGTTTAACTTAAAAAAGTAAGTAACCTGGGTTGCCTTAAAATTTTAAGTTGATTGAACTGGAAAAAGTGAGTTAATACAATGAAGTAGATTAATTTAACCATCAGAAACTCAAAATAATAAGTTATCTCAACTAAATAAATTATTATAAAGTTGATTTGACAAAATAAATTATGTTGTGATAACAAATCTTGAAAATATTTTTTACAGTCTATGTGTTTCACTCAATACAATATAATTCAAATTGCTTTATTGGCATGACTGTACATATTACAATATTGCCAAAGCTTGTAACACATAATATAACAGTGAAGACATCAATAATAACAAAGTGTTATAACAACTTAAATTGAAATGTACAAATTAAATTAACTGCACAAATTAACAATGTAACAGATTATACTTTCTGAGAACATTTGATACCACAGTGTTTTAACATGTATTTATACACAAATACACACATTACTGAGGGTCACTGTGGTGGTCTCATTTTGTGGATGTAAAACATGACTAAAATAATGTTTAATGATCTGAATATCCTTTTTATTTTTCAGCTATGCGTGGACTTTCAAAATATAACAAGATATGTATTGTTTTATTTGCTTTATGAACTTCTGCTCTTATATCCAAGTTGAAGTATGACAGACTGGGCTATCACAAATAGTTGCATTTACTGATTGGTGTCAGAATGCATGTGGTTTTGAGAATGAGACTGTGTTGGTGATCATATCCTGATCTCGTGGCTTTGCTTTAGTCAGAGTTCCTCTGTGGTGTCTGCGTCGAGACTTGGCCATCGCTCCGGTCTCTGAAGCCTGTAATCGTGTTACTCGTCTGGCACATGAGATGAGGCTGAGCTGTATGAAATCTTTATTACCCCAATACTTCACTTTTTGTCAAGCTGCTGGCTTCTACATATTCACTCATTAGGTTGGACATTGTGTGATGTTCCTCATTGCTGTCTCGGCAAAATGAAAATGCTCGTCTTTCATGAACTGTTTTTGGAACTCCATGGCTTGAGGCTACGACCGCAATAACTCCCGCTACGCTACGCCATGCTACCTCTCTCTCTCTCTCTCTCTCTCTCTCTCTCTCTTTCAACACTCCTTTCTCTTTCTCTCTCTCTCTCCCCCCAATTTCATGAGACTACATTTCAGTGAATTCCTCAAAAACAAACTTCTACGCATTTCGAAGAAATCACACAATATACAAAGGCTAAAGCCCCTATTACACTGCATGTGTACAATAGAAAAAGTCCTGAGAAAGATGCTAAAAAATATTCTGGGTTTAAAATCTGGGTAACACTTTTAACAATGGTTTCACAATTAACATTAGTTAATGCATTAACTAACATGAACTAACAATGAGCAATACATTTGTTACAGTATTTAGTCATACAATACAAATCCAGCTTTTCATTGTTAGTTCACAGTGCATTAACTAATGTTAACTAATACAACATTTGATTTTAATTCTGTATTAGTAAATGTTTAAATTCACATTAACTAGATTAAGTATTTAATAAAACCTGTAAAGTGTTAGCGAGATCTGTGGCATTGCGCTGCTAATTACCACATCAGGGAAAAAAAAGACTCGTCCCACAGGGCTTATTATAAAATCCATTGACGGAAATCAACATACTTATTTTAAAATCAGTCATTGTAGAGGATGCATGATAAAATGACTAAAATGTTTATACAAAAAAATTATTTTATAATCAGTTGATGTAGAGGTTTATAACTTCTCATTGGCAATTAAAAAAAAAAGTCTTTACATATAGAAGATAATGAATTGTCCTCAACAAGAAAAAAAAACAATATTAATCATCCATAAAAAATAAATTAACATTAAGAACATTATATTCTGCAAGTAAAATTGATTTGCTATGCATTTCCAAATTTAGGACTTGATTTTATCTGTGGGAAATTGATTAGTTTTACTTTAGAATAGCATGAATTGTGCAGAAGAAGACCAAGAACTTGCATTAATAAAGTAAATCAGTTTTCTTTTCATGTTGACATTAAGCCTGGTTTTAGTACAAATGTCAGATGTTTCCAATCCAGCAACATTGATTTTTATAAAGCTGAGAATCTCTTCCCTTAACCCTAAAACCGTAATCTGGACAAAAAAAAAAAAAAAAAAAAAAAAATCTAAATCTAAAATCATAAAAAATCTTTGGAGACTTTTGAGATATTGTAATTATATAACTGCAAGGAAATATATCACTCTGTGCAAGTGATTTTTCGATATTTTATTACAAAATTATTTCATATTGTACCTTTAATGTGATCTGTAACATGTCTGTACTTCCGAAGCCTGAGTGTGCGCAGGCAGCTGAGGGATTCTGGGAGGTGTGCCATGGACCACTGTGAGGACGCATTGTGCATTTTATAATGGAGAGACATGATAAGTGTACAGAAGTAAGTCAGTACAGATGTAGGTTACTTGAGAGTGGGAAATGCAAAGGCCTGTATGGCTAGAGGGGATCTATCACGTGGACCGTGGCATCTGACTGCTAAATGAATCAAGGGGCTTGCCAGCGTGTTGATGCCACAAGCACACAGCAGATGAATTTGCCAGACTTTAAATATTACATCAAAAACCAACGTTTTTTCTATTTCAGGCTTCTCCTAAAAGTCTATTGATTGGAGAGTAATCTTCAAGCTTTTCCAGTGTTCTTAGAAATGTCCTTTCTAGTCAGGATGGTTTTGGTAAATCGCTGAGGATTTAAGCTGTGAGCTTTTACTGTACAGTTCCAGGTGTTGGAGAGATGCAAAACTACTCATTCTACATTTCAGATCTTCTATGTTCATGCCGTTGTTTTGGACAACACTTATGAATTATAAATTCAAATCAGTTCTGACAAAGTCCAATAAAGAGAGTAGCCTGTCATGGCAGATTACAGTAAATTTAAATATTTAACTGCATTAACTCTTCTTTTTCTTGATGTTTTATCGTAGATTGAAAAGATCATGACTCTAATTGCCGACATCGAGATCTCCGAGGCGCATCGACCTGCATTGGAAGGTAAAGATGAGAGCAGCCACATAAGTCAAGTCAAGTCAAGTCACATTTATTTATATAGCGCTTTTCACAATACAGATTGTATCAAAGCAGCTTCACAGTGATAACATGAAAGTAGCACAACACAGATCTCATAAGTGATGAGCAATGACACAGTTATCAAGACAAGCGTGAAATGTATGGGTTTTAAAAGTTAAGCATTGGGTCCTTAAATCGACTCTCAAACTTATAGGGTTAAAGGGATAGTTCACCCAAAAATTAAAATTCTGTCATTATTTACATCAGAGTGAATGATGACAGAAGTTTCTATCCCTTTAAGAATTTTTTTTTACAATCTTAGAAGACTTTTCACATTTGGGTGAACTATCTTTTTTTTACTCACCTCATTCCAAACCTATATGACAATCTTGTCTATTTTTTTATTTTTTATTTTTTTATACAGCGAACGCCAATGGGATGCAATGTTGTTGTTGATTACAACGTTGTATCTTGCTATGTATTCCTCACAAGATCATTTTAATATTATTTATATACTATTATAGTATCAAGATTTTTGAATCAGCTTTTATTTTTATATATTTTCTGTTTTCTTTTTCAAGGTTTATTCCTTTTGTAATGTGCTTTTGTCATTTTTTAACTTCTGATTAGCTTTATTTTTAGTTTAGTTTTGTTACAGTAATTTTAGTACTTTAACTTATTTTATTTATATATATTTGAATGTTTTTAAATGTTTCATATAAAATTTATATTTATTTTATCAGCTTTATTTCAGTTAAAGAAAACAATTTTTGGTAGTTTTAGCTTTCATTTCAACTTAACAATACCAGCACTGGTCATACAGGTTTTGAACGACATGAGGGTCAGTAATGACTGAAAAATGTTTAAACGAAATAACTAACTTCGCCCTGAACTGTTGGACTGCAACTGTTGTTACAGATGGCAGAATATTATAACATCAAAGCTCAACAAATATGAAATATCAGCTATAACTAACAAAGCAATAGTACTAAAGTTGCTAAGAAAGCCTTTTAAAGCAATGCATTTTTTGTGTGTGTTGCATAAATGCATCAACTCTCAAGTCAGAACTATTTCATTATCGTCTTTAACTACCAACGATTTTCTTTCTCAACCACATGGTCTCACTTTTCACCCCAATTTGGTCTGATATTTTTATACTTCGTCTTTTGACCTCTGGTACACAATGGGCACCGAGGGCCTACTTTAAAGAGATGAGATGACGATCCATTTACTGGGGCCATCGCACCGATACTCAGTAATTAGGACTTGATATTCTATTCTTTTTGAGTGGAGCCTCCCGAGGTAGTTGCTATATATGGAGCGACAGCACTATCTTTTAATGGACTTTTTTAGGAGAGATACAATTATTTAGAAAGTGTACAGCAGAGAATCACTTCAAAGGAACAGACAGCGCTATTGTTCTGTGAGACTGTCCTTAAATTTCTGACGGGAGTTTGGGGGACGCTTGGGGAGTTGTTTGCTGTTGTTAGTAATGAAAATGCCAGTGTTTTCTGAAATAAACAATTCTTACAGCGCCACAATAGGCCATTTATTGGAAAAGTTGAGTGCCCTTATGAGAAGGAATGTAATATTTGGGCCAGAGAATGGAGATAGGAAGCGGCACAAAACAAACACACTTACAAAAAGTATATATATATTATATATAATATATATATATATATATATATATATATATATATATATTAGGGCTGTGCAAAAATTAATTGCGATTAATCGCATCCAAAATAAAAGTCTGTGTTTACATAATATATTTGTGTGCGCTGTATATAATTATTTTGTATATATAAATACCTATGCATGCATGTATATTTTTAAGAATTATTTGCGCTTACATTCTGTATACTGTATATAAATACATAATCTATATTATATAAATTTAAATATTTTATATATGAATAACACATTTTCTTAAATATATACATGCATGTGTGTGATCACTTTTTGTAAGTGAAAATTTTTCTTCTAATATTATCACTGTACAAGGGTAAAGTACCATGTACCATGGCATTTACAGTACATGAAACTTAAATGTACTTAAAAAATTTAATTATATTAGTACGTCTACAATAGTATTCATGGTACATGTCCAAACAGCCATGGTATTGCTATGGTGCCACTGTCCAAATCAAAAAATGCTGACTTTGTTTAAATGATTTGGTCCTTTTTTTTGCTAAAATTGCTAGTGTTTTTCCTTATTTTGCTCCCATTGGATGAAAGCTTCTGCTGAATAAATAAATGTAAATGTGATTAGTACTACTGTAAAAAAATATTGTTGGTTTAACTTAAAGAAAATAAGTAACCTGGTTGCCTTAAAATATTAAGTTCATTGAAATGGAAAAATTGAGTTAATACAATGAAGGAGAAACTCAAAATATTATGTTATCTGAACTACATCAATTATCTAAGTTGATTTGACAATAGAAAAAATGTGATTACAAATCATTTACAGTATGGCACATGTAAAAACACATTTCTATAGCATATCTAAGAAACCTACCATGTTAAAATTCACTAAAGCTCCATTTATAATTTAGTTTGGCTCCTTTTTGCCAAATTAGTGTTTTTCCTCATTTCGCTTGTCGTTTTGAATAAATGAATAAATGCACATCCTGTAGAAATGAGCGTCCTTTTAAGCATGCAGATGTTTGGATGTACTTTACATCTTAAGCCTTATTCAGTGCCTGTATGTGTGTGTGAATAACTCCCTGGCAGGCTGACAGTTGGTATGATTCTTCTGCTCTCAGCTGCATGCAGATAATGCCCTACATGCATGCATGAAGCAGCACTCATGTGTGACACTGAATTAGACCACATCACGCTATGGAGAATGCGGTTGGCATCGTTTGCTCGTGAGACGCGAACGCCTGTGGTTCAATCACGTCTGGCGAACCTGGATTCCGGCGATTGGACTCGGATGTGTCCAATGTGAATGTGGGCACAGGTGGGATTGCGTTAAGTGCAGCATGTGCACGGTGCGTTTCGCTGACTTAACGTTTAACGTATCACCCCCCCCCCCCCACCTTCTCTCTCTCTCCGCTCCGGTACAGTGACACATTCATGAATTTAATTCCTCTGATGATTTACCGTGGTATGTGGCTTGGCTGCGATTTAATTTTTCATAGAGAGAGTGCAGAGGCACTGGAAGCACTTAAGTGCGGAGGGGATAGGGATGGGGTTGTGGGGTGCGGGGGTTAGAGAAACCTGTACTGTTTTTTTCTCTTCTTCATTCTTCCTTTTCTCTCTGATCCTGGCACCAGTAGTGTGTGGTATGGGTTTGTCTCTTGTTCCTTTTTCTGATGGTGTCCTTTCTGCACCAGCAAGATCAGAGAGCCTGCGTGCAATTTTAATCAGTACGGGGAGAGGGGAATAGATAGAGGGGCAGAGAGAGAGAGTGAGACAGAGAAAAGGGGGTGGGGGGGATTGATCGCCACAGAGAGAGAGAGAGTGTGTGTGTATGTGAGGCAGATAGAGACGGGAAGGAGGGGGGTTTGGGAACGAACAGAGCGTATATGCCATGCAGCGGGTCTCAGCATCAGACGGCGTATGGCAGCCATGCAGAGCTCTCGGAAAGGACTCTTTTAATGAAGAGTAAAAATCAAGTCAAGCTGGAAACGGCGAGTGAACGTGACACACAGCTAAACTGAAGGCATACGAAGATGTCTTTAAGGTGATTACCAGCTGCAGCTGTGCAGGCGATGGCTTTCTGGAGGAGCACTATGTCATTTTGATGCTTTGTGAGTGCCGAATGCAGCTGCTTCTGTGGATCAGGGATGCAGCAATCCTTGCCCCCGAGCGCAAGACCCTTAGGAACGTCTGCTAGAGGAACGGAGGAACCAGAACAGGGGGCTGGGCTGCAACAAGAGGGAGCGTGCCGTCATCGGGGCTTTCTTATGGGGTTATCCGTCCATTGTGGGAGCTCACCTTGGCTTGGCTGTACCTCGCTTTGATGGTGTGCTTCATTGTGGTATGTTAGTCCGGTGAGGTGCGTCTAAGATCGGAGGGACTTGGATTACCGTGACCAGAAGAAACGTCTTCTAAGGGAACGAAACGTGCTGTGCTGCAAGAAGAGGGACTGTGTGTTTGTTTTTTGTTTTTTTGTTTTTTTATAAATCCATTGTTTCCACTGGATAAAGGTTTGGCTTTACCTCGTTTTGATGGTGTGTTTCGTTCTGGTATGTTCGAACGAAAGCTCGGCAGGACCAGGACTACTTGGATTACCGTGACTGAACACTACCTGACTGCCTGTGGAAGTGGTCAAACCGGCTACTTTCTGATGGTGGGAGGGGTTCCTCCTCAACAACCGATCAACGGAGGAATGGGATTTGCCATGAAGATCGTTCAAAGGACGACCTGGCGTCAATCGAAGCTTCTGGAGTTGAAAAACCGGCATTGTGGTGGACTATTGATCAATGAGTTTGGCTGCTTGGCTTAGTCCATGATTCTGTTGTAGGCATTATTCTTGCTCTCCAATGGTTCTTGGGTCTTCGCTAAAGGACGCTGCTTCTAATTTTAAGGACAAGTCTGTTTTATCATGCCTTGCGTTGTGTAGGGCATGTTGGCACTTTCCTGCAACTTCCTAGTAGCTTCTTGTAGATCTTGATATTTTGCTGCAAGCCAAAAGCTCTTTTATGAACTTTTCTGATCTTCCTGTTGGAACAACGTGCTGATGACCCTCAGTGCATATGTTTGATTCAGATACGGAAAGTCTGTGTAGACGTTGAAGAGCAACGCCAAGTTTTTCCAATTTACTGACTTGACGCTCTTCTTTAAAGGACTACCTGCCAAGGTCTACCTCCATACCCCATTCAGCCTTGGTCCTCATCTCCAACGCAGTGAGGGCTTGTGGAGACATCTCCATCACTAGTTTAGTTTGTAAATCTGGGGCCCTGTGTCTAACGGAGGCCCGTTGCTCACGCCTGGACACTGCCTTGCTGTTGCTGCTGCTGCCCTCAGCTCTGCTGGCCAAAGATGATGTGGCAGTGCCACATCTCGGCCTCCGAGTGCCGCTGCTACAGGCTAAATGGTTTTTCACTGCTCAAACGCCATCCTTTGTCGGCAGATGCAGCCGGGAGCCGTGCGCTGGAGCAGACGGTGGGGGAGTGGCTGGAACACGTGGGCTTTCCTCAGTACGAGAGCAAACTGGTGCTCAATGGCTTCGATGACCTGCGCTACATGGTGAGTGGCTTTTGTGTGTGGGGAATGATTGACACGGCAGGTTGGTCAGGGACGTGGTGAGTTTCTATACATCCAAAAATACAAAGGCCCCAAAATATGTTTCAGTTCACTGAACACTGTCGTTCATGGATAAATGTTTTTTCCAAGTAAGGAAAATCTCTTTTGTTTTATCCTCAATGTATGTGATTCTGAATTCTGTGACATTTAATTGATAAAATCAGTTTTATAATTTAAACAGTTATATTATAAAAGTATATTTTAAAAGATAAAAGTATCATTTCAGTGCTTTCAAATAAAAGGGAACACAACATTAAGCTATATCAAAGCTATATAAGACATGCTTTAAGCTATAAACAACTTTTGTTTTATTTTATAAAGTTGCAGTACTTATTATTAAAGCATTTTATGACTTCATATTAATTGAATATATAAACTTTTGCTGATAATTTACTCACCCCCATGTCATCCAAGATGTCCATGTCTTTCTTTCTTCAGTCGAAAAGAAATTAAGGTTTTTGATGAAAACATTCCAGGATTTTCTCCATATAATAGACTTCAATGGGAACCAAACGGTTTAAGGTCCAAAAGACAGTTTCAGTGCAAACTACAAACTGTTCAAAGGGCTTTAAACGATTCAAGATGATGAACAAGGGTCTTATCAAGCGAAACGATCGCTCAAAAAAAAAACCAAAGTTTAAGTTTTATAAATCTCAAATGCTCGCCTTGCTCTGTTCTGTGATGCGCGTTCGTGACTCTCCTGTTCAAACTCATTCATCAAAATGAACGAATCTTTTTCCGAGTGAATTCGTTTGTTTAGTTTGTTGAATGAACCAAATGACTCAGAAAAAGATTTATTCATTTTGATGAACGAGTTCGAACAGGAGAGTCACGAACGTGCATCAGAACAGAGCAAGGCGAGCATTTGAGCTTATAAAACTTAAACTTTATTTTATTTTTAAAATAAGTGATCGTTTCGCTTGATAAGACCCTTATTCATCGTCTGGAATCATTTAAAGCCCTTTGAACAGTTTGCACTGAAACTGTCTTTTGGACCTCGACCCGTTTGGTTCCCAGTAAAGTCCATTATATGGAGAAAATCCTGGAATGTTTTCATCAAAAACCTTCATTTCTTTTCGACTGAAGAAAGAAAGACATGGACATCTTGGATGACATGGGGGTGAGTAAATTATCAGCAAAAGTTTTTTCAAAAGTGAACTACTTCTTTAATGAGAGAAGAAAATTGTTATAGTACATAATTTCAGCCACAGCCCCTGAAATATAATTATGATGAATTATAATTATGTGTATTATAAAAGTGTATATCCTAAAAGTGTATGTCTATATTTCCATTTTATTTTAGAGAGAGAGAGAGGTGATTGGTTAATGGAAAAATATATTTGCAAGGCACTAAGTGTCAGTATTCACAGGGACTGTATGTGCCTGAAACTGCTTTAGTGCTACCTCTGCTGTCACTTTCATGCAACACTTGGTTGTTCTCATGAATTTAAGTAGAGCAGAAACTGATGTGAATGTGCATACGTTTAGGGGAGTAACGTGATGGAAGATGAGGACCTTCATGAACTTGGCATCACCGACCCAGGTCACAGGAAGAAGATCCTTCATGCAGCAAAAAACTTTCCGAAGGTAGCGTGTCTCAGTCCCAAAATATTATTTGGACACTAAGTGTGTGATACCAAGTTTTCATCCACTTACACTTAAAATTACCTTAGGGTTAGTTGGTTAAAAGTCACTGCAAATATCTCTCAGAAATCATGAAATTCAATCATATTCAGACATATTATGTGTGACTTTCCATTACATATATGCTTTGCTATGCAATTTGAGAGAGTGTTTTATTCCTCCTCAGGTGAAAGCTCTGGGGTGTGACGGCAGCACTTCTCTGTCCTCATGGCTGGAAAGTTTGGGCCTCGGAGAATATCTGCACAACTTCTTGTCTAGCGGCTACCGAACCCTGGACTGTGTGAAGAACCTGTGGGAGCTTGAAATCGTCAATGTAAATCTGCCTTTCATGCTGGTTCAATATACTTTTGTCCGGAGGTACAAGTTTTGTGCACTGTTGTCTGATACACTGACCATATTTTCTCTGTGTAGGTATTAAAAATTGGCCTTCTTGGTCACAGAAAAAGGATCATAGCCTCAATAGCAGAGCGACCATATGAGGAAGCACCTTCAAAATCCAACCGCTTTTCCCAGCTAAAGGTGATAAACATAATTCGGCATGATATCCAAGCATGATAACCATATTCCCAGCAAACACAAAAGGTTCTCCTAACGTTCCCGAATGGTCCCATGAGGTTATTTTTTTGGGAACCAAACAAGAACGTTATAGGAACGTTCCATGTAGGTTATTTTTAGGTTCCATTTTTATAAGGAGAACGTTCCAGGAACGTTCCCCTAAAGTTCTAGGAACAAACAAATTTAGGTTCTGAGAACGTTAGTTTTTGGTTCCTAGAACAATCCCAGAACCTAAATTTGTTTGCTGGGATTGTTACATGCAAATATAACTACATTATGTTTTGGCTACAAAAATGATATTTGTGCTTAACAGATTCAGGACCTGTTGTCTCAGAATACGTCACCGCTCAGTTATATGGACCCGTACACGAGTCGCTCCATGGACATGTTGCTTCCGTTGGGAGAATCAGGCAGAAAGAGCAGAGCATTGGATCAGGATGGCAGTATCTCGCTTCGCTCCTTCGGTGAAAGGTCACGCTCACATGTAAGTACCTCTGCGATCGAGATCACTGTGATTATAATGACTCCTGCCGGGTAACACGAATCAATCATTTGAGTCACTCTGTGATAAATGTTGCAAACCATATCTAGGCAGTTAAAGGTTCAGTAAGTGATTTCTGAGAAACACTGTTGAAAGTGAATCGGACCAAGCAGCATTACACACTTCTAGCCAATCAGCAGTAGGGGGCGTGTCCACTCATCAAGGGGGAGAAGTGATCTATCTTTAGACTTTAATAAGGGCCTCAATGCACGAGGGCAACAACGGCTATCCTGTCTGGTCTGAGTGAACAGGAAGTCTACTGTGGCACAAGTGTCACAAAATTTTTAATGATGGTTATGGGAGTAATGTGTCATAGCAGCACACACTGCACCGTATGGTGGCGAAGACCAATCAGAGTGCCTGTGAAGACCCCTGTCCACTGTCGAAAGCGCCTATAATGGGCACGCGAGTATCAGAACTGGATATTGGAGCAGTGAAAGAAGGTCGCCTGGTCTGATAAGTCCTGTTTTCTTTTCCATCACATGGATGTGTGCCGTTTAACTGGGGAAGGGATGGCGCCACAACGACCCGGTGGAGTGAGTGTGATGCTCTGGGCAATGTTCTGCTGGGAAACCCTGGGACTGGACATTCATATGGACGTAAATTTAACACGTGCCACCTGCCTAAACCACTTCAGTGGTGTTCCCTGATGGAAGTGGCCTCTTTGAAAAGGATAAAGCAACCTGCCGCACACATTGTCCAGGAATGGTTTGAGGAACATGATAAATAGTTCAAGGGCATGGTTTTCAAATTCCCCAAATTTTAGTTCAGTTGAGCATCATGTGTCGGACCAACAAGTTTGATCCACGGCAGACTATTGTTTTTGGACTAAAATAACTGAATAACTTATTTTTTAATATAATTATTATATTCTGAAAATGTCAGGGCACATTTTGTGGTGTCTAGTGCTATTTTAAATACTAAATATTCATTTTTAATGAAACATATTTAGTTATATTTACTATTTATGTTTCCACATGCTCTCTAACAAATTAGATGAAATAGTTACGAGGTCTTTGAGAAGAATTCATTCTTGATGTCTGTTACCACGGGGCACAGCAACACTTCTGAACACCACAGAACATGAATAATTTATACCGTTTTTAAATAAGGCATATTTGTTTAATAATTTAAACTCATTATGCTTTGAAATTTATGGAGAAACAATAGGAAAATGCTGCAATATAACGTTAAACGTAACTCCACTTTGAATATAAATCTGCACTTTTATTTATTGTTTTAGTCGGTGTGACTTTGACACAGATTTCACTTGTTTTCCTTTAGGACCGTCATGCAGATCGTCAATCACGTCTAAATATTCGCCCTTCCAGCCACTCTGCCACATACACCACGGTCTCCACCTGGCATCATCACCCTGAGAAACTTATCACAGAGTCCTGCATTTATGAGGCCAGAGTAAGTCTTTTCTATGAGGATCTGATCCAACTTTTACTGATAGCAAAGGGTTTGTTTACTTTGTTGCCTTTAACAAAGGGCTGGTATGACAGTAACTTCCCTCTGTTGCTCTTATACACCCAAAGACATCATGAGGCCATCAGAGGAAAATATTATTTTCATGTGTGTGTTTTTTAATCAAATTTGTTGACATGCAACTTATTTAACATCGGGACAAGGCAATATTTCAGAAGTTTTATTTTTTAACAGCTTTAAGCACAGTTGTTTTGTTTTTTTGCGACAGAAGATCAAGTTTGCCAAGGGATATTAGAGAGAAAATAGGAAATGATGTGGAATGGGATCAGTAAATGACTCAACCTGACTTCACTGTGTCAGAGCGGCTCAAACTCCAAAAGCATTGTCAAAAGCATTGTGACTCAGGTCTTAAAGATCAAAACAGAGTCTACATTTAAATAAATAAAAAATCCATTAATGAGCAGCACCACATTAAAAATTAAAGTGCTCTTTTTGAACCATCAGTTATATTTAAAATGTGAATCCTGAGATGAAACTGAGTGAGTTAGTACTGTTTGGCACAATAGCGATAGATTTATACATTTATAATGTTACAAAAGATTTCTATTTTAAATAAATGCTGTTCTTTTTCAACTTTCTATTCATCTAAGAATCCTGAAAAAAATTATAATTGTTTAAACAAAAATATGAAGCAGCAAAACTGTTTTCAACATTGATAATCAGACATGATAGACAGACAGACATATAGATACAGTCAAACAGATAGATAGATAGATAGATAGATAGATAGATAGATAGATAGATAGATAGATAGATAGATAGATAGATAGATAGATAGATAGATAGATAGATAGATAGATAGATAGATAGATAGATTGATAGATAGATAGATAGATTGATAGATGGATAGACAGACAGATAGATAGATAGATAGATAGATAGATAGATAGATAGATAGATAGATAGACGGACGGACGGACGGACGGACGGACGGACGGACGGACGGACGGACGGACGGACGGACGGACGGACGGACAGACAGACAGACAGACAGACAGACAGACAGATAGATAGATAGATAGATAGATAGATGGATAGACAGACAGATAGATAGATAGATAGATAGATAGACAGACAGACAGACAGACAGATAGATAGATAGATAGACAGACAGACAGACAGACAGACAGACAGACAGACAGACAGACAGACAGACAGACAGACAGACAGATAGATAGACAGACAGACAGACAGACAGACAGACAGACAGACAGACAGACAGACAAATAGATAGAGATGGATGGATGGATGTACATTTCTCTCATATATCACTCTTGGAAAATATCTTTCTCTTTTTCCAGTATTTAGGTTCTGTGATCATCCGAGATCTACGAGGAATTGAATCTACACAGGAGGCCTGTGCTAGAATAAGGGTATATATGCATATATTATTCAGCGTCAATATATATTATGTTTCATATCTTAAATTGTTGTCAAGTAACTAAGTGTATGTTACAAATTTGGCCCGTTTTTCTGCCTTCTAATTTTCACCAGAAATCAAAGGATCACCGGAAAGGTCCTGTCATAATACTGAATATCACCTACAAAGGAGTCAAGTTCGTTGACGCAGCCACCAAGGTGAAAGCAGTCTCTGATACATACTAACTCTAACAAAAGTTAACTCTGGTTTACCTTAACGTTTCTTTTTATTCGTAGTGTTTGAAGCATCTATCAGTGAGATGTGCTCTACAGTAACCCGTCCCGCACTATTTGTGGCAAGGACATAAATGATAGATTATGGTTATAAATGGTTACATAGGCCTGTATGGTTATGAATTAGTTAAGTGCTCATGTTTTCAGCAGATGTTTGAAAATTGTGCTGCATTCACTAAATATTTTTGTACTTTTGCAGGCGCTGGTTGCAGAGCATGAGATCCAGAACATCTCATGCGCGGCTCAGGATCCGGATGACCTGTGCACGTTTGCATACATCACGAAAGACCTGAAGTCTGGTTTTCACTTCTGCCATGTCTTCACTACAGTAGAAGTGGTGGGTGTTGTTTTTATCTGCTCTTTTATTCGGGGACCAATCAGGGTTAGGAAACGGGTTTATGAAATCAAAATGGACCCCGTTTAGCCTAAGTGAGCTAAAGAGCTGATAATATTTATGATGAGCAATATTTATGACAAAACATAAGGTTTGTCATATTAATAATATTGGAATATTTAAAACTACCAGTTTTATTTGATTATTATTATTAAGTTTACTATATTAAGTTTTTTATTTTAGCAAAGATGTAATTTAGTTTTTATTAATTATCATATGGAATGTATTTATTATTTTACGTGCATTTTATTATTTTTATTTTGATTTTTTTTATATTTCTGACATTGAATTGAAACTAAATAAAAATATTTATTTATTAATTCATTTAATGTAATTTAATTTAATTCTCTTTGAACCTTCTGATTATCTGCTTTATGTAAACGAGCTCTGTTATGATTGGCTAGCCTCTTCACGTGTGTAATGATGAGTTCACGTGCTATGGAAAATATTATATTTTCCACTTGTGAACTGGTATTTACCAGTGTGTTGCGTTTAAGTGCTTTTGTTGTCGTAATGTGGTAAAAAGAGACCTGTTATTTAGCTAAAACTGTTTTAGATTGCTTAAGTCAAATGCTACAGCAAGAAAATGATTCATCAAAACTCAAATGGTAAATAATATGCTGTATATTTTCTAGATCATAAACAGTACATATTTTTACCATTCACGACTTTACCATTTTGAAAAGGTCAAAGGTTATCTCATCTCGGCAACTTGTGCATCAAAATCTTGCGGTTTGGCTGTCAGATATAGTTTCCTTTGCCCCTTTTTTTTTTATAGCCTAACTGAAATTGAAAACTGATATTGTGTATTTATTTAATGACTCCTCTAATGGCTGTTTTCCGTTCAGACACAGACCTATGAGATCATCCTGACGCTGGGACAAGCTTTTGAGGTAGCGTATCATATGGCTCTCCAGGCACAGAAGTCCCGTCGTCACAGTTCATATGCTGGTCCAGTCTCCGAAAACATAGAAGCCAAGACAAGCAGGCCCACTTCTCAGTCCCGCAACAGTGTGCGCCGCTCCACCGTGAGTATGAGCTCGACACACATACACAAGTTCGTGGTGTGGTTAAGGATGAACTATGCATCATAAATGTATTGTGTTCATATGTTTTTGATTACTACAGAAAATTCTCTTCCAATTTACAGTATTGCTCTTACAATGGGCGACTATAGGGCAAAACATTCAGGAGGGTTTAAAAGCAGAAATGTGCAGCTTATGTGGTTATGTAAAGCTGACTTAATCGTACATATAGGGGTCGGGCTACTCGTGGATGAAGTTTAGTAAATGCACTGCAAAAAATTATTTTCTTCCTCAGTATTTGTGTCTAGTTTTCCAGTATAAACAAACATCTAAACATTTTTTAAATCAAGATACATTTACTTGAGAAGCAAAATTCAAAATTACTTAAGTTATTAAGTCTAGTTCTTTGAAAAATAAATTGAGTTTATGCTTAAAAACAAAACAAAAAAAATATGGTTAATATTTTTAAAACACAACAATATTTTTATTTTTGTTTTGCTTACTTTTAATGTTGTTTTAATTGGAAACGTTTATGTTCTGTATTTTAAAGGTTATTATATTGCAATGGTTTGTCCTTTATTACGAGTGCATTACTGTAAACATAGCTTATACAAACTGTGGCGGAGTCTAAATCATTTTCTGTGTTAGTCAACAGCTTGTCACAGATGCTGTGTCCATAAATCTTGAAACCTAAACTAAACATTGACTTAATTATCCCAGTATCAGTAGATTCTAGTCAGAATATATCATAGATGTAATATTTAATGGCTTTAATTTGCATTTGTGTCAGTTTAAATATGGCATCTACCCTAACTAAGGTCCAATTACATTAGGATCATTTTCAGCCTGTTTTTAACACAATACATTTGCACCAGATGCTTCATTCAAGTCAAGTCAAGTCACATTTATTTATATAGCGCTTTTCACAATACAGATTGTATCAAAGCAGCTTCACTGTGATAACATGAAAGTAGTCCTTTGTATTTATTCATATTTACATCTAATTCAATATGCAAATAATTTTGAATAGCTGTTTTTTGTGTGTGTGCTAAATTATAGTGTTGGTTTATTTCACTACTTAGAACCTGAGCTGAATTCTTGGGTCATTTCTGTTTTGTTTTGGCCTTTATTAAATATGATTAGATTATTTACAGAATTGCAAGACAAAAATAACGAGCTAAAGTTTGCCATTGATCAGCAAGGGATAGTTAGCTTGATAGATAGGTGTCAGAAAGAGGAAAAGCTAAGTTTTGTTTAATAATAAGTTAAATTTGATATTGTTTTAAACATATTTTGAAATGTTGATATCGTACTAATTTCTGTAGATTTATCAAACTGTATGGAACGTTTTAAAGTGAGACACTCGAAAATATATATTCAAACATTTTTTCAAAAAATTCAAATATTTTTTAATATGTTTTTTTTTTTCACGTTAGAAGTGCAGTATTAAAAACATTTCTAAAACCAAGGCTGTGAATCCATTTAAAATTCACCGTCATGTTCACTTAAATGTAATGCTGTGATAAAAGAAAACTAATATGATTTCTAACCAATACATTAAGACATATTTGATGGAGTGGTAAAAAAAATATACTGCATACTATAGTAGGAATGAGCCACTTGAAAGAGCGGGTTTAATTGTGTTCGAGAGGCGTCACCTCCAGTCCCAGTATACTTTTCATGTCTTAAATGTCTTTACTTTGCTGCCGTAAGCCTGTAATCTATGTCTCTGTGCTTCTGCCCGGTCCTCCTTCCCAGGGTGCACCTGTGCTTGAATGCCGCTGCTGTTACTGTCACACGTGCTCCGCCCACCGCCCCTCCTACCTCCCGCTGCCCTCTATCAGCCCTGGAGTTCAGGTTCTGCTCTCTCTCTCTCTCTCTTCCTCACATTCTCCAGCACTCTTCCTCCTGCTACTTCTCTGGCTTTCTCTTCCCTGCCACCTATTCACTTTACTAATTTTCCTGTTACGTTTTCCAATTGTCACTGTTATCCACCTATTTTTTTCCCCCATGTACATTTTTGGTTGACACTAGCAACAGGTCACAAATTTAAAAGATGATATAAAGATGAGATTCAAGATGATATAAAGGTTGCAATCATGTATAATCGTAGGATGAGGATATGTTGTGTCATTGGCAAATTCTTGTTTTGGCCTGAAGATGTGCTTGATAAAAATAAAGTTTGTTTAGTTGACTCTCACCAAACCTGACCAGAACATGTCCAGATGATATTTCACTCCAGAATAAAAAGAAAAAGAAGATATTATATTTTGCATAAAGAAAATTCTGTCTATAAAATTGGTTTTGACATTATTTTGATGATAAATAAGCATCAAAAAAGTCTCTCTCTATATACACACAAGCACACACATTATAATTATGTATTTATTCCAACATTATTCCCTCAACAGACAGTCTGGCGTTATAATGTATTTGCTTTTGGTGTACTGTGGAGTCGGTAAAACTGTTTTTAATAGCAGGCTAGCAGTTACCATTGACTTGCGCTAGCCTAGCATCGGCAAACTATGCAACTGGAAGGATTGGATGACATTTTATGAAAACTGTCTCCACTGATAAATAACACTAAAGCTAGCTTGGAAATGAGGCCCGATGTCCAAAATCCTGAACCACCCCTTTAATTTTAACAGAAATACAGTACAAAGTAAAACGTTCATTAGCATTACAGTAATGAAACTTTTGTGCATAATTGTCTTAAATTTCACAATGCAAAATTGTAATGGTTTATTTTAATATAAGCAAAATGTAATTGATGACGGATTTTGGGGTGAAATATGACCTAGACATGTTTTCGGGAGATTTTTGCTGTTATAGTTGTACTTCACATATCACTACACATTTCTTCAATTGGGTATAAATATTCCACATAGTGGGAGTTTCCAACGTATTCTCATCCCAAGACGTCATATACAACACTTTTGCCAAAGCGTAGACATCCAACGCACATGGCACCCTTTAGTGTCAAATGAGACGGTTTAGGTCTGTGGTAGGGTTAGGGTCAGACCACTAGGAGGCGCCTTCTGCCTCATATATATCTGCATCTCATTTGACGCCAAAGGGTGCCATGTGCGTTGGATGTCTACGCTTTGGCAAAAGCGTCCTATATGACGCCTTGGGATGAGAAAGGGCTTGAGTTTCATAAAGTGGTTGGTGTCGCCAAACAGTGTCATTGAGAGGTCTTTTCAAAAACAAAGTATTGCATTTTAAGGAATACTTAAAACATTGCGTTAACAACATTGCACACAAATATATTACATTTACAATTTTGGTTATCCAACTCAATTTCGTCACTTTTTTGGAAAACCCTCAAAATGACGTTATCAGGCGTCAAATTGTGTGCAATTTGAAAGGACACATTTACCTAAAAATTTCTTGTAAATGGATCCTCTAATTCTTAAAACAATGAGCAGCTATTTCCAGGCATTTGTGTTTATACACTCAAACAAGCATCAGGTCCAGATATAAGTGTTGTTGTCTATGTCTACGGTGATTTCTCCTACATGGTGTTCATCCACAACGGCCACTTCCTCACTTGTGTGAAATGTGGGTTTCCGTTGGCGGCCATTTTCTCCTGCGGTCTCACTCCTCGCTCCTACTTCTCTGGCAGATCGACCCTCAGGACCCGGAAACGGACCTGCAGTCCCTGGGCAGCACCAGTTGGCTCTTCGAACCACGGGACTCCTCCAGACCTTCCAGTAGCACCAAGTATGAGACCACCATTTTTTGAAGCAGGGCACGGCCCTTGTCCAATCCCGCCTGCTGCCCTATTTCAACCCCACGCCCCATAAACTTGAGTGCCCCGTGCCTTCTCACTGTGATTTGTAGCCTCCCTCAGGGCAAGACTACTTCCCACGCCAATCCCGACCCCGGTCCTTGCCCGCATTGCCCTCTCGGAGAGCCGAACGCCTCCACCATCCATTTTTGTCGTCTTGACCAATGAGCGCTTTCTGGAATTCTTGGATATGCCGTATAACCAGCCTCCTCAAACTCTTCCGACATGGTCCGAAATCGCCTCTGAAAGCTTCGATATTTTATACGTTACGCTGAATGTTTACGGTTCGGCCCTCGTACCAGAGGGTTCTCTATCACAAAAGCTCCGAACTTGAGCCGATGTGTAGGCGCCGGGTCCTATCGAGTAGCTCTTGTAGCATTTCTACATCTCCTCATCTGGATGGACACGTTGGTGGAACTTTATTAGAAATTAGTAGATCAACAAACTCTGACTGCAACAGCAATACTAGTACTTTTTTCAAGTTTACATACTTTCACGATCATGAATGCAACATAACGCCGTTCCCCATCAGCGCTCCTCAAACCCCGTAGCACTAGATCACTTTTCCCCCCTCTGTAGTTGGACCCACGTTTCCCCCCCCAAGCAGTTCTTCAGTTTTTCAAAAGAGTTGGTCTGTTATTTCGATTCACATCCAGTGCTTCCCTTTTTCTTACCAGGCATCTGCAGCTCTGAGGCCCTCTGAAGAAAGACTATACCTGTTTAGAGTGTTTAGAGGTTGGGAAATGCAATACAGCTTTACTAGGAAGAGTAAAATACAGCCCCAAGAAAATGGAATAATTAAGACAACATTCCCATTCTGTTTTCTAGTTGTTTTAGGGACGTAATTAGATTAACGACCTTTTATCTTTACAAGGGAATCCATTTTATTCCGTAGAGTTCTATATTTGAAACTTTACATTGTTAACATCACATGATAAGTGTGTGTATAACCTCGATGTTCATTTTGTGATTGATGATTTGTTCCGTAAATTTAGTTACCCGCGGGAAGCCATTTGCAGAAAGATGAGACAAAGTATTTTCATAGACTTAATAAGAGTAAATGTTACTTTTTTTCAATTGTAAAAGATTTCCCATGGTGACAATTATCTTTAGAGAGAAGATAATGAAGCCAAGAAAAGAAAAGCACTAAGGCTACTGAAAAAAAAAAGGTCCGAACAGCCTTACGCATATTGTGATGTACTGAATGTTTGGAAAACCACTGTAAGTTTGCACCACTTTGTTTATTCACGCAAAAAAAAAGTTATTTCAGTGTATTAGATGCTAGAAATCTGCTGTTTTACTTTGTTTTGTCTTGTTTCATATGCCATGTTCACACTGCGGCTAAATAAGATTTTTTATTTTACTTCCAGTTCTGTTATTACAGCAGTAACAAATGCATTTTGAAACCAGATTCACGCAAGGAACGTTTAAATAGTGACAACCGCATTTTATTAATTATGCGTACTAGCATTCGCGACCGAACCAAACTAACGTTATCACCGCAGCGACTTCATCATCACCTCAGACTAGAAAAACCACATAAACTGAGGTGTGTCTGATGTATTCATGTATTTAGATAGTTAATCTTCACCATAGTTTCTCCCACCAAACCTAAAAATACACGACATAAATAAATTAAAAATACCCTGCTAGACGCTGTTGCTATGGTGACGGTTTCGCAACGGTCGCTTTTCCTCTAGCCTATATCATACACATTCAGAATGATAATTTAGGGGATTTATTTCTAATTTAAATGTCGTCACTCTCAAATCGCTGCAGTGTGTACGTGGCTGTGTTTATTCTTCATGTGTGGAAAAGGACGGTTTGATTCTGGCTGTTGCTCACCTTTAAACTGCAGTGTTTGTCTCTCATCTCCTGTTTAATGGAGTTATCTCTTAAAGTTGTGGTAATTTCTTTGTGACTGTGTTGCACATCCTCAGCATCCAGACATCGCTGTCATCCTCACGCTTTAATTACCATCGTTTGACATTGTTTTGTCCCATTTCCTAACTGGTAATTGCCAAAGAGGCTATAACTCAAGATTAATTTCACTCATGCCATCACATCCTGTAACGTGAGCTTTGTGTATTTTTTGATATTGTGTTCATATTTCTGAAATTTTGTCTCCCATTTAATATTTCGGTTACACTTTATTTTAAGGTGACATAGTTAAATTGTAGATCACTTAGTACTACTGATACATGTACTTGCTATAGTGTTATGGTTCGGGTTTGGTTTAGGGTTACTAACTTATAATTATGCATCATTTACTTATTACTATAGTAAATGCATGTAGTAATGTGTAACTTTGTCACCTTTAAATAAAGTGTTACCAATATTTCTAGTTTAATCAGCAGTCCTGTCTGGGCTCTTAGAGTATTCCCATTTCTGAATTCCAATATATTTTTCCTTGTGTAGCTTACTCCACCTTTCAAGTTTCCGGACACCAAGGTGTGAATTGAAGGGGAATCAGGTGAAACTTTATGTGTGAGTCCAAATGAGGAAGAAATTGAGTGAGTATGCGAGAGAGAAATAGAAATACAAAATTAGCACTTAACTGCCGTACCAAACGGACTGTCCAAAGTTGCTCCTACTGCAAAAATGAACTTGAATAAGGACATTACTCAACTGATAAACTGATTTGCTGGTGATGTGGAAATGGACGTGACGTATCAAATATTAAAATATGATTCAGCATGATATTCAGTTTGATAGAATCTCATAAAGCAATGGCAATTTCACCCCAAAATCAAAGGAGAGATTTCGCATATAGCAAACGAAGCCTATTTTTAGGACTTTTCACTGCAAATCATCATGACTGTAATGCGTAAAAAGTCAAATGCAACAGATACAACCAAAATGTATACTTATATTTTTACTCTACAGATTTAATATTACATCGTAATATCAATATTAATATATCTTAATTTGTTAAAAAGTTGTTGAGGTGGAATTTGGGGAAAAAAAAATTGTATGGTCCTTAAAATAGGATTTCTTTAATTTGATTTTGGGATGATCAAGGCATTTCTCAAGTTTGTCCATGAGATTCACTCAAATATTTTCAAATCGTTAACAGAACTTTGTGGGATTTCTGGAAAACTGGAATTCTCTTTCCTGAGCACTGTGTGAACATCAATGTTCCCTCTTAAACTGTGGTTTATTTTCATATGGAGGACTTTGTGGGTGACGTGAGCAGCATATAGTACCTAAAAAAATATGGAAAAAAAAACTGTGTACATTGTAGAACTGCTTGTTGAAGATGTATGGCGTTTAAAGGGATGGTTCACTTTGAAATTAATTTTGATATGTTTTAGCTTACCTCAAGGGCATCCAAGATGTAGGTGTCTTTGTTTCCACAGTATTTTCAATTTTGACATTTTTCATATAATCAGTCATATAATGGGAGTCCGCCTCAAAGAGCATGCACAGAGAAGTCAAAATCAAACATGATTTATTGATGGCCTAAGACGAGCGGTTTGAGTGAGAAAACGAACAGTATTTATGTTTTTACCTCTTGTTAACAGCCGTCGAACTGATCTGAATCAGAAGTCCAACTGAACCGAACTCGACCGAACTGAACCGTCTCGTTGCGCCGGAAGTGATCTCTCGAGCGTCTACATCACGCAATGTTTACACGGTGATTTCGGGAGTTTTACCTTTCACTAAACATATTTAGATATAGGGGAAATCGCAATGGAAGACGATTTCGATATATGTAAATATGTTTAATAAAAGGTAAAACTCCCGAAATCTCCGTGTAAACGTTGCGTGACGTAGACGCACGAGAGATCACTTCCGGCGTAAGGTTGGAGACGGACGGTTCGGTTTAGTTGGACATCAGATCAGTTCGACAGCAAGAGGTAAAAACGATATAAATACTGTTCGTTTTCTCACACAAACCACTCGTTTCGAGTCTTAGGCCATCAGTGTATACTTACATTCACGAGTCATTTAATCATGTTTAATTTGGACTTCTCTGCATGCTCTTTTAGGAGATCCCCATAGACTTCCACTCTATGACTGACAGACAACAACGGTTTGACCTAAAAATGTCAAAATTGAAAATGCTGTGGAAGCAAAGACACCTACATTGCCCTTGAGGTAAGCTAAAACATATAAAAAATTAATTTCAAAGTGAACCATCCCTTTAAAACAAAGACCTGAGATGGAAACGTTACAGTTGAGAAGAAATGATGTAAAGCAGCAAAAATATTTTTAACTGTATGTGAGGAATCAAGCTAAATTAATAGCAAATCAATGGTTGATGCAATGATCTTACTGTGAAATAGCAAAGATGTAGCATATTTAGGCTATTGATTTGCCGTACGAAAACAAAGAGCTGAATTAAATGTCACTTTATGGCCATCTGTCACAAATCCTGTCTAAGAATTATGAAAGTGTTTTATTTTTTATAGTTAGCAGGTTGTTTTTGTGGGCACGTGTTCTGAAATAGTAGGAATGATTTACAGAAAATGAGGAAAAAAATGCAAATCCCTCAGGCAACACTTCTCCCTCGCTTCCTCTTTGAATTCACTTGAATTTCTTTTGAACTTCACATAATTTGAGCAAATATTGACAAACTATTTAACACAAATTACATTAGTGTCCTCTATTTTCCCTGTTTGGGAAGAGTATGAGGATGTCAGAAACATACCAGGATCAGGGCTGAATGCTTGCACTTGACAACACAAGAAAAAAAATACCACTGTTGGCCTATGTAGAAGGTAAAGTAACTATGATTAAAAGATGTCGATTAAATGTACTTTTTGTCTTGAATGTTCATACTATTCTGTATGTTCATTCCATTTACTTAAAAAAAAACAATCATTATACTATCTCAATGCCATTGAACTAATAAATTCAAGACTTTTTGCTCTGTTATTGTCTTGTTTGAATTGCATTTCAGGATATTTTATAAATTACAACACTAGCTGGGTTGGCTATTGATTTGATTAGAGTATTGTGAGTAATCAAGATACATTTACTGTGTTCGTTTAAATGCTGTACAAGCAGACCGAATCAAAACAAGCAAAAAAAGGTTGTTTTTCCATTTTATTTTCTCAAAATACATGAAAAACAAAATGCTAAAAAAAAAACAACAACAGTAAATAAAAACAAAACAACCATCAACGTAATAAACGCACATCATACACAAACCCACTTTGTAACCCCCTGGTCTGTCATAAATATGAAATGAAAGCCAATGGAAGGTTCATTAAATTTTACAGGAATTTGTCATAATCCGAGTCACTCGAGCGAACCAATGTTTCCTGAACTGCAGGCATTAGTCATCATAAAACGCAAATGAGCAATAAAAATCTTCAATCGACTGTAAAACCAGTGTAGATATTTGGCCGAGTCTTGCATTGATATCTGGTGGGAAATCGTGGCACCGTGGTTTTATCGATCAGGTCGCACCATACCAGGTCTAACGGACAACATCATTGGCCGAGCAGGAGGCCGCATCATGTGTGGCCCGGGCATCATTTGCATAGGTCCGCCCATTGGTGGCCGCATACCTGGACCTGAAAGAAACCCAGTAGAATTTAGATATTAAATTCAGATTGTTGTTGATGAGACACCCTTGACATGAACTTGGCTACTTCTACATTTGATTTAGGTGGTCACCAATCTTACCTGGTCCTCCAGGCATCATGCCATGAGGAGGTGGACCCATCATGGGCATCATAGGAGGACCACCCATTGGTGGAGCTGGTAACATGCCAGGCCTTGGAGGTCCACCTGCAAAAAAAATAAATTTATGCTTGGTACATAATCTAGATCTAATCTCTAATACATAAAAAGAAACACGTGTTTTTAAACAGTTATGCAAATTCTTAATTTATTGTTTGACAAATAGCTAGAGAGCATGGTGACTGATATGATGCCAATATTTATATAATACAATTTAGTGTGGATGATGGATTGTTTTATTTAATGCCATGTCAGCATCAAAGGCTATTTTCATGATAGATAGATAGATAGATAGATATCATTTAAAAACAATAAAACCAAGCAAACAAACAACTCATATTTTATATATATATATATTTAAATAAACGCATGATAAAAAAAAAAATAAAAAAAAATATCCAAAACCTTTTGCAGGCATAATCTTACCAAGCAATAAAAGAGCATTCTACTTGTATTAAATTTAGTGTGGAATAAATATGTTCAGAATTGAAATGTTAGGGCAAGACACCACAGGTGAATAGCGTATATTTACACTGATAATTAACAAATTGCCTATTGTTTTGCATTACAAGATTTCTGAAATGTGTAAATGTTCTAATGAGCCATTGTGTAATAAACTAATATAAAATGAAACAAAAATTGTTAATCCAGTATATGGATATCTGGAAATCTATACAATTTTGTGTAGTGTTTTCGGAGAGGGGATTTTGGATTTCTTTTTATCACTCCATTAATAAGAAAATACTGTCAGCAATTTTTAGGAATAAAAATGTGAAATATATTTCAGGCGAGTGATACATTAAACCCCTTTGTGGAGGAAAAAGATTTCGTGGGAAGTTCTCCTGTGCGTACAAATATGAAATAATCCATGCAATTATTAGTAAATTAGACCCAGTGCTTTTGCCTGTAAACTCACAAATAAGCATTGAGAACTACTTGGTAAGCTGTGCAACAGCCACAAAAAGCAGAGCTCTGAAACGTACTAATATTTGGATGAGGAAGCAGAGATCCGCCAGGTGGAGGGGCTCCTGGGAAAGGCGTGGGTGGGATTTTACCCTGCTGGAAGGCAGCCGCTGTAACACACAAAAATTAGAGAAATAAGCGCCCAATCAACTGATTAAGTATGCATATTATGTATAGATCAGAGGTAATGTCTTGATAAACATGCCTAAGAATATGATTTACTCACTTGTTTTGTCGATGAGACTCTGAGCTTGCTCCTCCATCCATTTCTGATAATAATCTTTCACATTTTCTTTATGTTTACGTCCACTGCAGTGTGTCTTTCTGACGGATGGCTGCAGAGATTAAATACACAATGAACTTTTGCACATATATAATAATGAACGTCATTTTAAAACAGGTCAGATTAAGAGTGCGAATCTTACCGAATCATGTGTCAGGTAAGTGTCACAATAATCACAATAAAACCTGAAAGAGAGATAAAAAAAAAAACGAGTCAAAAAAACTCGCATTACACAAAAACAAAGTAGTGGTACTCGAGTACAGGGATGATACTATAGATAATACCAATTCATTAATAAATAAATACCATAGTAAAGTAAGTTACTGCCACGTACAAAAGTAACAAGTACCATGATTTATAGTTATTACTATAGTCTTCTTGTAAATAATTTAGAGAACCATGTATATTAGTATACGGTAATATAATAGCATAGAAATTAACGTGCAATGAATGGTATTTACATGGTAAGTTACTCTTTTGATCGCTCTATTTTCGCACGTTTTTTGTTAAAAATTGGATTCTACAGAAAAACGTTATTTAAAGCATTTAAACTGTGAATAAACACAAGAACAAGCACACTATGTCAAATAGTTTGAACCCATTGAAAAGCCGACTTAGCTTAGCGAGCTAGCTCTTATCTGAGAAACGCAGCTGTGTTTGTAATGTAGTTTTCTATAACGCCGAAATGTACACCAGATACGTTGAATAATCTTTCGCGACTAAGACGTGCTGTTTGTTTTATAAAATATCGTACATGTTTGTATGAAATAAACATAAAAGACAGACTCACTTCGGCATTTTCACAGCGGTGCAGCGCGGGGCGAGAACCACCGGAAGCAGAACATGAGAGAATCATTTACGGCTTTGTTTGGGTTCGAGCGAACGCGCGCGTGCACGCACTGCGCCACCCCGAGTTTGGGAGCTATTGGCAATTTTACCCCTAAATAAATACATTTGTGTTTGGATTTACCTTTATCATGAGAGTTAGGCTCATTTCCCTCCAAATATATTTAAATGTAATACCTATATGAAAAACTACATGTACAATGAGAAAAAAAAACACTCTGAATTCTTATTAGCATATGCAAATTATATATATATATATATATATATATATATATATATATTAAAGCTGTGGCCCTAAAAGACAAACATTTCTTAAGGGTGAAATATTCCCAGGCTTCATGAGATTCACACAAGTGCTCTATTATGAATACTGATTATACCAATAAGGTCAACAGATCAAGGACACTGCAGAATATAGTTTTATTCTGACAAAACATTTGCGAAAACTTTAACATCTTAAAGCAATGAGTATTTTGCCACACGTTTGCGAATCCATGCGGCTGCCATGATGTTTACTTGAGCAACTTTAAGCAGTTCAACTTTAATGTTTTATGTTGTTCAGTAGTTCAAAGCTACAAAGTTCTACCAAAAGCAAAAACCATTGACCAAATGCCTGAAACACAATACAATAACAAACAGGTTGCAACAACTTTTCCACTTCTTAAATATATTGAGCCTGAAGCAAGACAGTTCACAGACTTTCCTATAGTATTGTAGAAGACAGTATTATGTGGCTTGAAAGTGTTTGAGAAACATGATGTTGCAAGGTTAACAGAAAAAGAAAAACTTCACGCTTTTGACAAACCAGATCATACATTAACACATACATTGAAGTTTCTGATTTATTGCAACAGTATATGTAAAAAAAATGTGGTTGGTCTGTCTGATTTGCCTTTTAACTTAACGAAAGCATTTATCACGCGATTACTCATTGCAAACAAATTCTGAAAGGGATTCTGATTGTAGCTGACAGACATGTGGGTCAATGTTTAATGCAAAATACATTGAAGTAAACATAAAACAGCATCTGAGACACATTTTACTTCCTTAATGTGATATTTCACCTACTTTTCTTTTTTTGTGCGTGTGTGTATATGTCTTATTTTTTCATTGTAATGTGTTTGATTTGTCCCTTGTTCTGTTTTGCATTGTAAATTAGGATCCCCTCGAAAACGAGATGGTTCATCCCAAGGGGTTTATTCTATTCAATATATATATATATATATATGAAGAGTTCAGATGCAAAAGCCTCTAAGTGCCATTTGAAATTTTCTTCTAGAATGATCATTTTTATCAAGCTTGTATATTTAAGTTCAGTGATTTCACTTAAATGGCAATGATAATTACCTATTAATTGTTATTTAAGTGAAATTACTGAACTTAAATATACAAGTTTGATAAAAATCATCATTCAAGAAGAAAATTTCAAATGGCATTTAGAGGGTTTTGCATCTGAACTCTTCATATATATATATTTCCAATTGAACTAGGATATTAAAAACTTTTCCAGCTTTTACACAAAAGTAAAAACTTCCACTTTTAATTTTGTCCTTTGGAACAACGTGCTCAATAACAACAGGAACATCTATCAAGGAAGTAAATGGGTCCATTTTGATTTCATGTTCACTTGAACTTGCATTTGAGGTCAATGAAACTCTGCCATTGGTAACTGTAAAATGGTGACTTGATAAAACATGAAAACCCCATTTCTTTCCAAAGGATTATGATCCACTATCCAATAATTCAGAATTATATTGCATTTTATTTAGATACAGACTTGCATATAAGACATGATGCTTTTCTGCGCGGTTAGAACACATCATCACTTTTATATTTTCCGTAGCCATCTGATGAAAACCGTTAATCCTAAATAATTACTAAATATGACACCAATAGTCCCTTTGAAATGATGAGAATGCTACGGGAAGTCATCATCCTCATACGATGCATCTTGAAAACCCATTTGACATCATGTGGCACATCTCAATGTCATCCGGATTAAATACAGTGACGTGACCGATACATCACCAAAAAACAAGTCCTTTCTGCTCGTCCTCCCGGAAAACCACAGCGGCATTAGTCAACACGCCAGCCCTGCCGATACACCGACCAGCTGTGGCACATCTGTCTCTAAACAGTCCTCATAGGTTCGATTTGGGTGCTGTGTTGACAGGGATGGCTCTGAGCTCTGTCCGCATGCACATGTACTCGCCAATGACTGCCATGAGGGCCATGCAGGCCACGTTGACCAACCACCATGACAGGGCAGCTGGGAGGTGGGCGTTATAGATCCAGCAGCCGATCATGTGGAAGAAATGCACCGTTACGGTGAAGTCCAGACACTGCTTTCCACGTCGGATGAAGAACCACAGGCCAAGAGCACTGAGAAAGAGAAACAGAGCCAAGAATGACCTAAGATAAAAGTGAGATAACTGAATGAAATAAGGGACAGTAATATTAACTTACCACGTGAGAGAATTCAGAATAAACGCCATCATAGATAAGCGGCCTTGTGTTGTTGAAAACCCAAGAACCTTGAAAGAAAGTAAACTAGCTATTATACAATATCAATTTTAATCTTCATTTCGATGAACCAATATTGACTTTTAAATGCCAAGATCGATTTATTAGTCTGCGCTGTTTTCATCTAAAAATCACGATAAGCTTTGTGATTTGTTAATTTTGATAAAAACAACAGTCTTAGATTTCAGATCTTGTCAATTTTATCATGAAATACAAACAAAACCATTTTGATGCTCTTTTATGTGGCGTGAGAGAGATCGCTGTAGTGCTAATCATAAACCAAACATTAAAAAAAACATTAATGACCATCATATGGTATGATGACAGCAACAGTTCAGCTTACTAAAATCTATCATGTCTTAAGTCTTATGTAATCGCTCACTCAGTGTTTCACCCTGGGAAAGACGTCAATAAAACAGCTTGTAAACAATATGTGCCACGTGACATTACATTTACTTCAGGAAAGTCATGGTTGTCGTAACTATTTCATCCAGCTCTATTTGGACAGGTTCTTACTTCATAACTGAATATCTGGTCAAGTGATCTACTGGAATGGACCAAACCATCAACACCAGCTAACCAGAGACCCAAGAAGCTGTAGTAGATGCACTGCATGAGAACAATCTGAGAGATGATGAGGATCGGGTCCCAGATGTAGCTGCGGAAATGACTGCCCATCTCGCAGGAGAAGAGGGGGGCAACACAGGCCCCCACACCGGCTGGAGGGGAGGGTCAACTGGAGCCCCAAGATTTGAGTTTCAACCTGTCAATGACAAAACAATAACAGTTGGTTTGTCAGACCTCCACACTTCTGAGAATACCATGGTAGATCTCCGAAAACGTAGATAAGATAATTATAACAACCCAGATAAAGTGAAATCAATTTAAGTGAGACAAATACCTACCGCTGGTCAACATACGCACTAGTTAGCATTCAAACATTCTACAGTCAAGAATAATAATGTGTTATCTTCAGTATATTATAGCACTATAAATATAGTTATTATAATTTCAACTTTATGCCGTTTTCTATAAATAAACAACCAAGTATGTGTAAAAGACTGCGACGAACAGCCTGTTTATTAACATTCGCTGGCTAAACAGCGATAACTAGCGACTTTGTTTACGTCCGTCTGTGAGAAACAGTCAACATAATCATGGAATGAAAACACAAACCCTGATTTAGACACATCCGTAATACGATCCTGAGCTCAGTTGGTCGGCTGACAGTTTAAAATTAAGGATAATGAACGCTATATGTTAAGGCTAATAATAGTAATTTCAACCGGATGCGAAACTTTGATCCGATGTTCAGAGCTTGACGTCATCATCTGTGTGTCCAGCGGCGCAGATTCGACACATGCGTCAAACTTCACAATCAAAACAGACAAAAAAACAAATAATGGCGGAAATGATTACATTGAGGTTAAGTTAATGACATTTCTTGATATTATTATTCTATTTCTCCTTATTTGACTTGCTTCACTTGTTTTATAATTTCATAGTGTGTGGAACTTAATCGCAGCTTATTACAAACTGACGATTTGGAAGTTTAAAAGCGTTTGAAAGTGTGTGTCTTGGTTGTTTCACTTTCACAGAACCCAGAGTTAAATTGTACGGAAGCAAATTAAATAAATAAATAAAAATAAATTAAAAGATTAAAGTTGAAATATTTCGAGATTAAACTCGAAACATTACGAGAATAAAGTCGTGATATTTTTTATATTTTAAAATATATCAAAGCAAGTTGCTCTCTGTTAAAACGGCTCAAACATGCATTTTAGACTGCCTTTGTCTGTGAAACGGGGGATGAATAAATTAAAATGTACCTATGCCGTGTATAGTTTGAAACAGTTTTATAAGCTGCGTGGCCCGGTGTTTTGAGTGGTTGCTAGGTTGTGAGTTTGGTGTTTTGGGTGGTTGCTAGGTTGTGAGTTTGGTGTTCTGAGTGGTTGCTGTGAGTTTGGTTTTTTGATATATGCCATGTTGTGGTTATGCCAATGACAGTTAATTTTTTAAAGATTTTGTTTTCACTTGCTGGCATTATGAAAGTTGTTTTGTGACTTAGTATTTTGCGGCCTGAGTGTCTGTACCACTTCTGTAACTCAGAGCTTCCTCTTGGTTCATCCATCAGTTTGTCGCTAGAATGAAAAACAAGCCTGACAAAAAAAAAAAAAAAAAAGAAAAAAAGAAAAAAGAAAAACGTTTGACCCTTATAGTAGCCTAGTCTGAAACTGGATGCATTATATCTTTGTCAACATGCATCTCAGTAATTGGATAGTTTGTGATGATGATGTATTTTGAGTCAGGTTATAATAATCCATTTTCATATTAATCTTGATGATATAGGCTACCAGTTTGCATACATGTTATTGTCAGTTCAGGAATGTTAATTATTAGTTAAATAGAAAATTTAAGCCACGTGTTAAATGCAAATTTTTCTTACCTTTACTGTCATAAAAGCACCTAATCTAACTCTTAATTAGTTTTTTTTTATTGTAGGCTAATACACAAAGTCTGTCTAACCTAACACGTGTACAGTTAAAGAAAAATAATTATGTTTTGAACAAAGAAAATTAAGCCTATAGTTAGGAGGACTGTTAAGCTTTTTTGGCTATTATTTCAATGTTTTAGCATATTTTCCCCAACTGTCCTTACTGAAACATTATTTAGCACTGTAATGAATGTGTTTTGTCCATTGGTGTAAAATTAGTTCTGTTACATAACTTACAGTGTTTTAATCTGTTTACTAGCTTGTTGTTTGCTGTGCATTTCAATGACATGACAAGTCTAACAAACCATCCAATGCTTATTATATAGCCACATCAGGCCACCACATGTTTTTATTATGTTCAAAAGAAAGATATCTTTGAAGTAGCTGTCTATATTTGAAATCACTGTACAGTTGTGTCATTTTACATTCAGCATTTGCATTTCAGCACAAAAAGTAGTCTTATTCACCAGTCACTATCTAACTTAACCATGGGCCGGTTGCATAAACTGCTAAGACGAGTCCTACAAGTTAGAATTTTTTTTTTCTTTAAGACTTTTCATAGCTTTTTTAAGTCTGTTACATAACATAACAGATTGGTCTCTGATACTGAAAAGACTGATAACCCCAAACAAACTGCTAGTTGGTCAGACTTGTTCTTAAAGGGACCGTTCACCCAAAAATGAAAATTCTGTCATCATTTACCAAACCTGTATGAATTTATTTATTATTAACATATTTTGAAGAATATCAGAAGCCAAACAGTTTATTGGACCCCATTGCCTTCCATAGTATTTTGTTTTCCATATTATGAAAGTCAATGGGGCCCATTAATTGTGTGGTTACCTATATTCTTCAAAATATCTTCTTTTGTTTTCAGCAGATCAAAAAACAAAAAACAAAAAAAAAACGCATACAGGTTTAGAATAACTTGAGGGTAAGTTAATGATGACAGAATTGACATTTTTGGATGAACTTTAATTTGGATGCACTACTCAAATCCAATTTGTAGTATATAGTGCATGTAGTGTGTTCACAACAAAAATTCAGAAACGGAAAAAGTGCACTTAAAATTCCCAGATAATACACTTAATTACCCGATAAAAAGAAGTGTGAAATGTTGGACACTCCATGCACTCAACTGTTGCAGCTCTAATTAGCAAAGGGAGAGGCCATGTTGAATGACAAAATAACATTCATAGTCATACACTACACGGTTGAGTACATAGTGCATACAAACATAGTGTATATGAGTGATAATGCATAATTTGGGACAGAACTACAGTCTCTTAACATATAAATAAATAGCTAAATGTATTCAACTGGACCCAGGTGCGGAATAGCATTGTTATTCTGTCCAATGCAACATGCCTCCCCAGATAGCAAACTGACATTGAATCGACGTAGAAACATGACATCGAAACAACGTTGATCTGACATTGTTTTGCTCATCGAATTAACGTTGAACCAACGTCAGACGCGTCATTCTTTCAAAACTAACGCAAAATCAACTTGAAATCAACGCGTTGTTTCAACGTTATGAAAGCAAACCAATTTTCGATTTTCATTTAGCTTTGAAGAATGCCGCGTCTGACGTTGGTTCAACGTTAATTCGATGAGCAAAATCAACGTTGTTTCAATGTCATGAGAGACGTCATTTCCACGTTGATTCAATGTCAGTTTGCTGTCTGGGTCATTGCTTTGCAAATAAGGCTTATCGTGGAATGCACCATATTTACAAAAATTACGTTTGAAAAGTGATGTTTGTGTCCATTTTCCTGTGATCACGGCTGCAGTAATTCATCAAATAATGTAGAAGAGCATTATAACTGGGCATATTTCCAGACACAGTGTTGACTAGTGCTGTTTCTGCACTGTAAAGAGCTGATTCAGGTGCATGAACTGCAGTAATGTCAGCATCCCCCACAATGTAGTGGTCAGAATAAGAATGCAAAATACAAAATTGCATGGCACAGTTTTATGTGTTTTTATTCTGTTACATAGTTGAATAGTCCCTTTAGTCAATCAGATGCTAAAACATACTTAGTAAATTCCCCCCTTTTAGTCTTAGTTGCTATTGAACTTGTGTTTTCTCCGTGATTGGTCCCGGACCGTGCTGGCTCGGGCTGGTTGAGGTGGTTTTACAGAGCATGAATCGCTGGAAGATATGAATCAGAGTATCACGGAAGCGCTGGATGCGAAAGGCATACACTAGCGGGTTGAGTGCGGAGTTGATGTGTGACATAAAGATTCCCACATAAAAAGCACTCTTGGGCACAGTGCACGTGGGGCAAAAAAACACAATACTGTTCATGATATGAAGGGGCAGCCAGCAGAGCGCAAAGCAGCGCCGGCCCGAGCCTTTTGGGGGCCCTAAGCAGAATTTGATTTGGGGGCCCCTCCCACGACGCGGAGTCACCTGTGTTTGACGATTATTGACATAAATGTCACGCAAAAATGATACATTATAAATGAATACACTGAGGTTATGTATTAATAAAAAAATAGATGCCTACTTAAATAAAAAAGTTTGAAAACAGTCTTAAAACTGTTTTAAAACATATACAATAAATTATTTGCTAAAATTATGACAAAACTGAGAAATTAGAAACGTAAGAGCAATACTTTGGCCTATCCTCCTGGGACCCAGGAATAGACTTTTGTCCACTGTAGTGGACATTATATTTTAGTGTATTTCTCTGACACCATGCATGTCACCTTTTTTTTTTTCTGGATGTCCTGTAAAGAGCACATTCAGGGCAATACAGAGATACCAAATGTTTGGAGGTTTCACCATGAAAACAACTTCTCCTTGGTCTTTAAAAATGTCTAACATTAATTTAGTGATCAAATGTAGCACTCTTATTGAAATATGGTAATATATTGTAATTATAATTTAAATCTAACTACTTTTCAAATTGTATTTCATCAACCAACATCTCATGAAAATGTTATGGGGTTTCAAATGAAAAAAATGACTTTCCGTTACAGGGCATTGATTTCATTCATGTCCACTGTAGAGAACATCAGGACATAAATCATGTTTATCAGGCATTCTGGGAGACATAACAAGTGAATATGTAAATAAATTATACGTCAATATTCTTATGACATATTAGATATTATTATTAAAATGTTGCTTATTATTACGCCAATGCTTACACTTCTTTCCTCATTAAATGTTGCTCCAAGAACACATTAATGTGCAAATTAGATACAGTGTATAGATACTTTGCATTGAATGGGAATATTAATTTATGCCAATTTTACCCATATATTGCATAAAGTAAATTGGTGTATCAATTAATTCCATTATATCTTTCATAACATAGTTGATAATCATCTTTATACAAATTTTAGTTCAAAAAAATCCTGAAACCCCAAAATGTATTGGTGATTGGAAAAAAAATCCCATTGTTTTTGCCTACACATTGTATGTCATTTAATTTTAACAACTGAGTCCTGGTGTCCACTACAGAGGACAAAGTATTACATATGAATAAAATATAATTTTTCAAAAAGGTTTTTTTTTTTTTTTTTTTTTTACCATTTGTTTATTATGCTCTAAACAATGTGATGACATGAAAAAAAACTAAATTAAAAAAAAAAAACTTTCTGGGTCTCAGCTATTGTTGAAAACTAAAAATATTACTAGCCTATTTCTCAACTGTCTCAATACAGAGTAACTATCCTCAAAATCTTTATTATTGTTATTATTATTATTGTAACAGACTTTGTTATATAGTACATGACATAATCAACACAGTCTGTTACTATAATACCGGTTATGATGTTCTGGCGCTCGTTGTATGTGTGTATGCAATGTATTTTTCCCCTCGGGGCTTGCCGTAGATGGGTCGTGCGCACTTGCTAGGCTACTGGAGTGTCGCGGGTGTTTGGAGATCTGATGTGTGGTATAATAAAGTGGAGAAGAGTTCAAACTGCTATGTTTATTATTTATTCAAACTGCTACCCTTACACCTTGAAGGATAAGTTCTCCTGCGGGCTATTTTCTCCAACTTAAACCGATACCGTGACTAGGCGCAGTTGCGCACGAATTGTCTATGCACGCGCGAGGTGTCTAGATTATGCGTATGACTTAAACGCTGGCAGACAGAGCAGCAGTTGTAACTTGTAGGCAGGTATATTGACCATTAAATCAGAATTTTGTTGTCTTGAACTATTCATTCAGTCATATTCATTCATTCATTGATTTATGTCACTTGTTTAAGTCATCTAAAAAAATAAAAATAAAAAATAACCTCGATTAGGGGGCCCCCTGGTGGCCAGGGGGCCCCAAGCAGCCGCTTAGTTCGCTTATGCCTCGGGCCGGCCCTGGCGCAAAGAGAAACAGAACTAGCGCTAACGACTTTGCAAGTTTCAGCTCTTTGCGGTAGTACTTGCTGGAGTCGCTAGTGGCCTCGGCTCGAAGGTTGAGCTGCCGTTTGATCACGTGGAAGATCTCGGCGTAGAGGCTGATCATGATGGTCAGGGGAAGCACCACCCAGACAAAGAAGTTGAAGTAGACCATATAATCCATGCGCATGACGTTGGTGAACTGGCATTGGATGGGCGTCGTAGTGACATTTTCAGGTGGAGTGCGGTGCCAGCCGGCCATAGGCACCAGGCCAGTCAGGAAAGAGATGAGCCAGCACAAACCCACAGCTACCCACGCCCGCCTCTGTGTAACAATGATGTTGTACCTGCCAAAACAATACAAATACAATTACTTTTTGAAACCAATATATCAGCAAGCGGTGATTCAAGTTTTGTTGTGTAAATGCATTTTTTACAAAGTGCGTTCCAGGCAGGTTTTTGAGCGCGTAAGGCTATGTTAACACGGAAACGATCTGAAGAGAAAACGCAAAAGTGGCCTTGCGTTATCACTTTTCATATTGCGTTTAAACGAGCGTTATGGGTGGGGAATTCGCGTGCATATGGTGGCGCAAAAGTGTGTGAAATTCGATGTAGTATGCACTCCAGGCAGCTTGGTGGCAATGTGAAGCACTGCCACACAACAACACCAAGTCCGCGCGCTTGCGTACAACCTTCACTGTCTAGCAGACGTTTTTACCCTTTAAGGCCAATTTATACTTCTGCGTAGGGTGCGCGCAGTAGGTACGGCGTAGCATACGCACAGACGCGTCCCATACCGCGTACCCTTCGCCGTCGCCTGACGCGCACCTCTTCAAAAATGTAACTACACGTCGCGACAAAACGGACCGCAAGATTGGTGATTGGTCGGCTTGGTAGCATCGTATTTCCTCCTACGTATTTCCACCACTGTCAATGATTTCCACACGTACCATCTCTTCCGAGAGTCTTCTCTCATTTCTGCCTTTCAGTTTTAGTAATTTCACTAAAGTGAACTGTTTTTCCACCTTAATAAGCTCCAACTCCAACATGATCCGCTCTCTTTCAGTCGCTATTGCTTGTAGTAACCTAGCCGTGAGGAATCTAAACTCAGTGGAACATTGAAACCCTCCGCCGCCAACTAGCGTTACGGAGCAGTACTGCAGAGCAACCAAGACCTGAACGCAGAAGTATAAATGCTCACAACGGCGTCGCCTACGCCTAAGCCAACGCCGTACACTACGGCGTACCCTCGACGCAGAAGTATAAATTGGCCTTTAGACGGGAATGTGATGGTGGAGCGTTTTTAAGATTTCCACTCTGGAGGGTGGTTTCACATTTTTGCGTTTTTAAACCCCCAAAACGCCGTCGCCGTGTAAAGGAAAAGGCACATCCGTTAAAATATTTTTACGTTTTCACCCGCAAGCGTTCTCGTGGAAACAGGGCCTAAATCACGACTTCAAACCACGACTCACGACTTTGTAGCATTCCAGGCCAATCACGCCAAAATACCTGAGCTTAGAATTGTGGTAGCTAGATGTAAACAAACCAGCATGGCGGAGGCTTATACGCATTTGTAATCATTTCTGTCGCCAAAGGTGCTCCCTGTTTATTTGAGGGAAACTGAGGAGGAAAAACAGCGAATAGGGCAAGATAAACTGTTATACCTTTTATTTTACTTTATTTGTATATTTGGAAATGTAGTTGGTATTAATGTATCCTTGCACTCAATGGACTGAACACTAGTTAACGTTATATTGTCCTAAAGTTTATTCTCACTGTGTACCGCCTGCAGAAACACTGCATCCGTAGGGGCTGCCATTGTTTTGTATGGTTTCACGGGCTATGTGACGTCAGAGCTCGTAACTGGGAGTACATCGATCTAGTATGAGTTCACGGGTGGGAAGTCACGGGTTTGACTGCCGTTTCAGTGCACTTTCACGGGTATAAGGTTGGAAAAACACGAGTTACAGGTTGCCAGGAACGCGGCATAATACTGACATTTTCTGAATGAGAGGTTAGCTGCTCATTGATCTCTATATTATTGTATTTCTAGATATGGCCTGGTGTGGATTCTTTGGACCTTTTCCCAGACGTATCATCCAGACTAGACGCCAAAGGTAAGTCCAAATGATTTCGAATTAGTATTATTGGGGTTTGTTATTAGGGAAAGTGTGTAGGCACCTTTTGAAATCGTTGGTGTTCTTATTATTTCGTTTCTTCTTAAGTCTACGTCACTCCAGTGTTGTAGTCGAGACCACCTCACTCGAGTCCGAGTCTAGACCGAGACCAGAGAGAGTCGAGTCCGAGTCAAGACCGAGTCCATAGAGAGTCAAGTCCGAGTCGAGTCCGAGACCAGAGGCGGTCGAGTCCAAGTTGAGACCGAGACCAGTGAGGGTTGATTACCTAATTTACTTTTATTTACTTAGAGAAATCCTTTTTTTTTTTTTTTTTTTACTGAATTTACTTAGAGTTTAAAAAATATGATCAGTTTAGGGTAAAAAGGCCACATAGTAGGTGGTGTTAAAAGTAATTTTTTTACAATTTGTCATGCACAGTTGCGCACTAGAGAATCACCAATCACTGGGCGTGTCAATCAATTTAAAGAAATATTTTATTAACATACATTAATAATCATGAAAAATATTTTGAATTGAACTCGAGTGGACTCGGGAATAAGTCCGAGTCCTAAAAAAAAAAAATGTTCGAGTACGAGTCAATTCCGAGTCCAAATGCACACGAGTCCATGACAAGACCAAGACCATTAAAATATGGTCTCGAGACCGAGTCCGAGACGAGTCCGAGTCTCGAGTACTACAACACTGCGTCACTCCATAGAACCGCTTGCGGCGGGAAAGTTATGAAATTTGGGACACTGATAGAGGACAGTCTGAACAGTCATTATAGCAAATTTGGAGTCTCCAACTCAATCCCTCTAGCGCCACCAACTGTCCAAAGTTTCACTCATGTTTATGCTAATAACTTTTGAACCATAAGGGCTAGAAACAAAATTCCTTTTCCCAAAGATTCCTTGGCGATTCGATATTTTTATTTTCACCAATTTTGACACAAACATCTATAGGCTCACTATGAGGACACATAAAAAAATGGTAGGATTGTGCCTCTTGTTGGTGCTATATAAACAAAAACATGACTTCAATACAGTATTGTGATATAAATTGCTATACTTAACGAATGCATTGGTGTAACATTATACCTCAGTATGTGTCATCAGAACCATGCCCTGAAGGAACTCAAAATATTTAGGGACAGCGCCACCTTTTGTTCAAAAGTTATAACAAAATTTCCCAAAAACTTTTGAATAAATCTGCCTATTGCAATGTTGATTATTTGGGTCAGGACGAGAACATAGATACCAAGTTTTCCGTATTTGGCCGAACTTCCTGTCCGCCATCTTGATTTTCATTCTATACCTACTTTTTCAAACTCCTCTTAGACCATTCGTTTCATCTCCAGACTGTGCCGACTAAAAGTTTTGGATTTCGTGTTGATAGAAAAGTTGAGGCATGTGGCCAAAAGGACTATTCAGGCTTTATCTCTGCAATGCCCTGACATATTGACACCAAACTTTGTATGTGTCATTGTCGCTTCACTCTCACCACATCACATCTATAACTGCGCCACCTATTGGTTGAAAGTGATAATCCATTAAATCATATTTTTATTCAGCTATTTTGCATAAAATCATCTTAAAATGTCTTTAATTGCTCCTTGATGGTGTTAGTCTGACACTCCCAGCCATGTTGGCATGTCTTATTGCACTTGCGATAATTCTTCCGATAATTTCAACTTAAAGCTTTATTTATTATTATGTCTGCAGTACAAATAGAGTGGGATGAGTTACACTTGCCTTAGGTACATTTGCCTAAGTGTATTTTCTAAATGAAAATAAACATATTTAGTAGATAGAAATGATGTATTTGAATAAATTTGAATATATTAAATTCACCGTTCCTCACAAATGTGTTACATAAGCACATGCCATCAAACATCAGGCAAATGAGTGGTTAGGTACGCTGCCAAAAAACTATCAGACCAGTGAACATCATTTCCTTTGACGGACAGCAGGGGTTTAATTTAGTTGAAAGCCTTGCATTACACCACCACATTGATTAATTGCAGTCCTGCTCTCTGGCCAAGGAACATGATAAAACACAACTGATGCATTAAAGGTAAAGTTTAATCTCTATGTGACAAAATGCACATTAGAAATAGTTCTGACTGTGACACCGAATTGTATGAGAAACTCTCAAAGCTTCGTTGCTTATAGAATAATTATTATTAAATTCAACTATTTATTGCATGATACTAATAAGCTACTCAAGCCTGTGCAAGACAATCGTTTTATGTTAAATTTTAGCACAGTTGGCGAAATTTAGGCTTTTTTATGCACCAATTAGCATAAAATAATTTGACATTTGTGATTTCTCTTTATTTTTTTGCACTAATGAATACCGGTAGACATAGTTGTAAAACATAGTAAATATGTTTGTACGGGTTATATTCACAAATGTACAGCATGATATATTAAGTTAATATTTTTATAATTTAATAACACATTTAAATGTTCAATGGTCTGACGTTGGTTAATGGTCACGTCACATGACATACAGGTAAACATATTATTATTATACTATATTATTTATTTATTTATTTTAATTGGACACTTTTTATGCTATCATTAAATATAAAATATTGAATCTTTAATCAGTACGTGTTTCAGACTCACCTGGTGGGGATTTTGACGCGCAGGAATCGGTCGATGGCGATGGCCAGCAGGGACAGTATGGAGCTTTGGGTGATGATGACGAGAAGGCACGAAATGAAGAGGCAAGTGTAAAACTGTGTGGTGAGACCCAGGCTGATGACCACCGCCAGCGGGATGACAAGAACGCCGACCGCTATATCGGCCAGCGCCAGAGAGACAATAAAGCAGAAGGTCGGGTCTCTGAAACCCTGGTTCATGCACACCACCAAGACCACCAGCACGTTCCCAAGCACTGATGCCAGGGCGATAGTGCTCTCAATGGAGATGTACATCAGGTCCGTTTTCTCCCAACTCTCAGTTACTGTGACCGTTGACATCTTGGGGATCTGCAGCAGTTGTTCCTGTTCCATTGGGTCTTCTACAAGAGTCTCATGATGTCCTCAAATGCTGGTATGTGCTCTCATTTTATTATATTTCTTTATAGTCTTTATAGTTGTCTTGTAATGAAGTCTTCCTTAGCTGAACTGGCCTGACTGGTCAATAGACAGTAGCAGATCCATGTTATCTGTAGTTACTTAGAGCTGCCGTGTGCCTTGTTCTCTGCATCTTCACAAACTCCTGCTTCTGCTTCTGTTGCGGAGGCTCTGCTGCCTGGGAAAGGGAGGGGTGGTTCATTCTCTGCACCACTGCTCGCCTCGCTCACCATTTCTCTCTCACTATCTCTCTTTTCCTACACCTTCCAAACCCGAAACACCAGTTAGAATTTAATTTAGAATGCCTTTTGAAGATGAATTGAAGAATGGAATTGTGGTTTCAATTTACATTAAGGAAATAGAGTTTAAATGGAACAAAACTCTGCTGTAAGTGTGATTTTTATTGTTAATTTTTTTTTTAAATTAAGAAAAAATGTTCATACACACAACAAATGGGTTACTCACCAAAAGTGAGTATTTTTGTTTTAGTTTCTGGAAATAAATGGATATTAATTCTGATTATTAATTAATTAGCCTATCTGTTTATTTCCTGAAACTGATATTTTATATACAGTACTGTTCAATGTTTTAGGTCGGTAACAATTTTAATTCTTAATTGTAAATTTTTAAAAATGTTTTTGAAAGAAGTCTCTTATGGTCATCCAAGCTACATTCATACATTTGATGCATTCAAAAATACAGTAAAAACAGAAATATTGTGAAATATTATTACAATTAAAAAAAACTGTTTTCTATTGAAATACATTCTAAAATGTAATTTATTCATGTGATCAAAGCTGAATTTTCAGCATCATTACTCCAGTCTTCAGTGTCACATGATCCTTCAGAAATCACTCTAATATGATAATTTGCTGCTCAAGGAACATTTCTGATTTTTATCAATGTCGAAAACAGTTGTGCTGCTTCACATTTTTTATGGAAACTGTGAAATAGTTTTTTTCAGGATTCTTTGATCAATAGAAAGTTTGAAAGAACAGCATTTATTTGAAATAATCGTTGTGACATTATAAATGTCACTTCACTGTCACTCTTGGTCAACTTAATGCATCCTCCTGAATAAAAGTATTAATTTCTTTATAGAAAAAAACGAAAAGAAAAAAACTTTGGAACGGTAAAACTTAAAGGAGTAGTTCACTTTTAAAAAAACTTTTGCTGATAATTTACTCACCCCATGTCATCCAAGATGTCCATGTCTTTCTTTCTTCAGTCGAAAAGATATTAAGGTTTTTGATGAAAACATTCCAGGATTTTCTCCATATAATGGACTTCAATGGGAACCAAACGGTTCAAGGTCCAAAAGACAGTTTCAGTGCAAACTGTTCAAAAAGTGAACTACTCCTTTAAACAAATTGATGTAGAAAGTCATCAGTTTTGTCCACTTTGTAAAATCTCATTTCTGTTCCTTTCCTTTTCCTGTCATTCTAGTTAAAATTCCTATTCAACGTCCTGTGGGTGGTGGCTAATTCAATTAAACTTCACACTCTTTTTTTTTTAAATTCTGAATTGTATTTAATTCTGAATTAGGCCCATGCATGCATCCCAGAATCCTCTGTTTCCTGCCTCTATTTCTTTGTTTTTCTCTCACTGCATGGAGAGAGACATAATTTGATATTTAAATGTTTCAACCCAGGAAATCGGACATGATCTTCATCAAATTAATTTTTCAGTAATGCTCATTGTATTGTGCTAATGGATTCGTCTCTGAATTGAGGGAAGCACTTGTCTACCATGATCATTTCATCTGGTTCCCTAGGCTCCTCAGCATTATGTGGTTATCGTGTCTATTTTAGTTCTCTCATGCAGAATTAAGGTTTCCTTTTTGAGTCATAACACAGACGAAGATTTTATTGCACTTTCAGAGCTCAGAGGAATTCTCACTCATGCTTCATTGCAATATTAGCCTTTTCTGTGATGTATTTACAAAATGCTCCTTGGAGAATGGAAAATATAATAAATATAAATGAAAGTGGATAGCATAGCTCAGATTTCTTTGTGGGAGAGTTTGTTCAGAAATGTGATCATTGCAAATCTGAGTATAATTGAAATTTCTTCTGAAACAGGAGACATGTGAGATCACTGCGGGTAACATGAGACTTAAGAGAGTCTCTATTTTCTTTCCATTTAAATTAGTTGTCTCTAGACGATACAACTGAGACATTAAAGAGATTACTAATTTCAATAATTACACAGCATATTTCCATTGGATTGGTCTTTAATGTCGGTTACATGTGACAAGGTAAACTAAATAATTTGTATTTGTTTGTGTTGTATTTTTTGTTTAGATTTTAATTTTAAAATGTTATGCTTTTATTTTCATCAACTCAAGGAAACCCTAATTTCGAATATTTTTACAATCGACCAATCAAAATCAAGTATTCAAGCCAGCTGTGTCATAATGAAATTAAATGGTGTGCCACCTTGCCAATAACTTCTACATCTACAATGTTCTCTTTGGATGTTCAGGCATTTTAAGTCTGTCTAGCGCAGTGATGTTCTAAGTAAATGCTGTTCTTGTGCTTTTCTGAAAGGATCTCTTAATAAGGCAATCTCTTTGATTAGTTTCATTCCATTAAGATTTTGCAGACACCTAAATGTCATTCCAAATAAAATGCAGTACTTTTTAGATTTACTATTATTAATGATATTTTTTAAGTCAAGCTAAAGAGTGCAACAGTTTGGTTCCGGAAGTACAAACTCAATTTATTTTCTCCAAAAGGAAACTGATTTTGAATGATAAGACCTACTGTGAGGTAAAAGATTACTAATTCATGGTATTTGTTTCTGCTAAAGATTTTATATTATTTTTTAAAACAATCCCGATTAACAGTGCAATTACTGGTGAAAAACTACATCACCCATTATGCTGTACAGAAATACACCAATCAGAGTGTTGAAAAAAGCAACAAGCTCCAAAACAGCACTGCGAATTACGTAAGTGATTTGATCTCCACATGCTCTCAAAATACTGAAATGTTAGTGTATATATGCATATTTTGCAATAAACTTAAAATAAATAGTTCATGAACATTCATAAATGAGTTTTTTTATACTCCTTCATCCTTTTTAATTTGATTATGCTGTTTGCAATGCTTCATGGGATTGTAGTTTTTTCCCCGTATTCTTTTTTTTTTAATCCGATTTTCAAAAAAGTTTGTTGTGATTCACCTCTTAGCTGATTGGCTTAGTTCATGGTTTATAACTATAAACAAACACTATTTTAAATTAAAAATGAATGGAAAAAAAATGAAATAGGGGGCGGGCACTGTTGCACTCTATTGCTCATACTCTGGATTAATCCAGGACCATTTGTGTTGAAGTGAGGTTGTGCTATTACTTTTCTTAGCGGTCAAACCTAATACAAGGCTGTTTCTAGTCTTGTCCTTTGTTTGCATATATGGACAAATTACAATAGGTAAAACAGGTAAGTAATATTGCAAATGCAATCTGAAAAGCATTATGCAATGCTCATCCAAACCTATTAGTTGGGATTTCTCGTCAAGCATAACCGGCTGTGCAGTTTTCCAGAGACGAGTGACTAGAGAACCATAAAGCCCTGAGTTGTTGTTGACGTAATGCTGTCATAATTGAAAGAGATCATGGTATCAAGCACAAGGACTTTGGACTGCCCCATAGGACTATTTACTTGAGCGGTAAGTAGTAAATGTGCCACGCACAACCAGAATGATGCATAGAGCAATAATGAATCTGTTACGTAAGATAAGTGCTCTAATAATGTTTGCAATTAAACACAAGCTATTGTACTCATATAAAGGGCATGGCTTTAGTTTACACTGAAGGAGGGACCCAGCCATAGAGACACTGGAATATCACAGAGACTTCAGTGTTCAAATAAGCAACCACACAGACACCCTAGCAACTACCCAGAATTACATAGCAACCGTTCACATCTCTACCATCATGGTGTTGAGATTTAAGCAAAGAACACATAAAAACACCCCAGACACTACACACCCTAGCAACACCTTAGCAACTACCCCAGATTCCCAAACACCCATTAACAACAATAGCAACATGGTGGGAGATTTGAGCAAGCAACCACATAGCATCACCCTAACAACTATTCAGAATTCATAGCAACCATTGACAACAATAACATCATGATGGTAAGATTAGTGCAAACAAGTAACCATAAAGCAACTACCCAGAACTCCTAGCAACCATTCACAACAGTATGACTGGCTGCAAGATTTGAGCAAGCAAGCAACCACATAGCAATGCCCTATTATCTACCCAATTCTCCATCAACCATTCACAACGCTAGCATTGTGGCGGTGATATTATGGCACTTTTCCATTACCAGTACCGTCTCGACTCAGCTCACTTTTCGCTTCGTTTTCCATTGAAGACAGTAGTACCGCCACAAATAGTAACCGGTCGTCATAGCGACGCCTTTTGTTCCTCGTTGCCCTATCAAGCTCTTGCTGGATCCTCTCTTTTGCAACCAAACAAAGGAGAGTCTGCACCTCCTCGTTTGATCACGACGTATTGTTCCGAGTTGCCATAATAATAGTAGTAAGTTAGTTTAGTAACTAGCTCTGGCCAAACTATATTCCGGATAACTGCATCTGGCACTGGCACATGCAATGATGACGCAGTGAATGGTGAGGATTCTCTCCGACCAATCAGCAGTCGGCATTGTTTTCACGTCACGTTTTAGTATCGCCTCAGCTCGCCTTAGCTCGCTCAGAACCTTGCCAGAGCCAGTGATACCAAAAAAAAGTACCCGAAAGAAGGTACAGGTACAACTTTTACACAGTGGAAAAACCAAATGCGAGTCAAGCTGGTACTGTGTAGCGGAAAAACGCCATTAGAGCAAGCCCTTAGCAACCTAGATAACATTAAAGACTAGTTCCACAAAACCTGAATGAAACCGTTTTTCCATGAGAGTTTTTCTCTCCTCAAAACTTTTATGAAGGAGTTTCCTTTTTGAAATGGGTCTCTCGACATTGCGTCCGAGCTGACACGATGGGGAAAATCCTTTTCTCCGAAATGCTGAAGCCTGATTGAATCATGCTATTGCACACGCTATAGCCAATGGCATTCAAGCGCGGGAAGGCTGTCCACTACAAGTTTTTCAGAGCTTTCTCAGGTTTGTTTTTAATGATCTAATGAACATTATTGTCTGAACGATCAACACCCACCCAGGTACACACGGCAACAGCATATATCGTGCGAGCTGTTGTCATTTGCATCAAATTAAATACGCCGTTTAGATGTGTGGTTTCCTAACCCCTGGTTTTCGAGCCGCTGATGAGAATTGATTTGGATATTGCTTTTCAGTGCAGTGCCAAAAGGTATATTGTACATTTTTCAACCTCAATCAGCAGATTGAACTCAAGCTATGTTAGAAAAAATAATAACGTAGGAGATGAACATCATAAATCCACGTTGTTTGGACCTAGGTCGATATTGCGCTGTAAAGGGAAAGAACAAAATGGCCTGAGACGTATCTTTCAGAAATCCAGTACTCCTTCCAGAGATACGCTCCAAACGTACCCTCGAGGATCAACACTGTTCACTTCCACTTGGCCCGATGCCAGTAAATCCATTACGGAGACTACAGGGAAGCGCCTGACAGAGGGGAGTCCAAACATCTAACAACACAATGAAAATTGCATTTACTGGAGGTAAACAAAGTTAAAGGATTTTTAAAAAAGTGTTATGACATGAAAGAAATATATCTAATATACACTCAAAGGATTATAAGGAACACCATGCTAATACTGTGTTTGCATTCTTTTGAAATGTTGGCCCATGTTGATAGGATAGCGTCTTGCAGTTGATGGAGATTTGTGGGATGAAGCTCCCGTTCCACCACATCCCAAAGATGCTCTATTGGGTTGAGATCTGGTGACTGAAACAACTGCCCAATTGGCACTAAGGGGCCTAAAGTGTGTCAAGAAAACATCCCCCACACCATTACACCACCACCACCAGCCTGCACAGTGGTAACAAGGCATGATGTTCTCATTCTGTTTACGCCAAATTCTGACTACCATCTGAATGTCAAAACAGAAATCGAGACTCATCAGACCAGGGAAGTAGTGGAGATGAGTGGTACCCGGTGGGGTCTTCTGCTGTTGTAGCCCATCCGCCTCAAGGTTGTGTGTGTTGTGGCTTCACAAATGCTTCGCTGCATACCTCGGTTGTAACGAGTGATTATTTCAGTCAAAGATGCTCTTCTATCAGCTTGAATCAGTCGGCCCATTCTCCTCTGACCTCGAGCATCAACAAAGCATTTTCGCCCACAGGACTGCCGCATGGACTGCCGCATTCTCCACTGGAGGTACAACTCAGTAGAAAACCTAACTCATACTATCACAGGTAACTTGCATAACGTAATCAGATTACTTTTTTGATGTTACGAGTAAAGTAACAAATTACAAGTTACATGCATTATGTAATCAGATTACTTTTCTGATGTAACGAGTAATGCATTACATGTAACATTATGTAATCAAATTACTTTTTTTAATTAACTGCAAATTACAATTTATTAAATCTAATAACACATCCATTTATTTAACCAAAAAAAGTTACTGCTTTTTAAGTATTTTCAAACACAACTGTCGCAGTAATAGTATGAATTGTAGCTGAAATATAGTGATGCGTTATGTCCAATTTAGTGGACAGTTAACTAATCAGAATTTCCTCCCAATCTAAAATCAATACTTGGAAATTTTATCAATGATGTGACTCCTAAGATGTTACTTTTTTTTTTTTTCCCTGCAAGATCCTACCTGCCTCCTAGTATAAAAGGAAGGGATAAATATTCCAGAGCCATTTCTGGCTGACCATTGGCAATCTTGGTTTGGAGAAAAAATATTCCACATACTTAAGCACTGGATGATGCACTAGAGTCCGCTGTAGTTGTTAATGTGCAACAATGCCATCAAAACTTATACAAGAAATGGCTTTTTAATCTATGCATGACAGGGTTAATCGCAAGCAAAATATTGTAGATACTTAAAATGTGTTTTTATTTCAGAGCTCGGATGCCATTATGAAAAAGAGCACTCTGCATGGACGTTCCTCTAAACATCATATTTCACAGAAGAATAAATCCATATGGGTTTGGATTGACATTGAGGTGAGTAAATGATGGATGGCAGAATTTGCATTTATGAAGTTATGAAGGAAGGATGTGGATGCACTGACGGCTACTGCACATTATGGCAAAAACATTTGCATGCTCAGAATGACTTGTCAGTTTCTCTTCCTCCTTCAATATGTGGACATGACATGACTTGAAACCCATGTTTATTTATATGTCCGAGGTCAATATCTAGAGAGCAGAGCTGCAGATGTTTGATGGATTTAAATGATAGCATGTGAGACTCACATAAAAATAAATAAAATCACTATATTAATTTTTTTTTAGGAAATTTGTCTTTAACCCAAAGCTGTACACAACATACACACACACAGCACGTGACAACATTAAAGAAAAAATAATAATAATTATTAAAACATTAAAAAGAATTGATAACAATGACCACATCTTGCTATTTAAAATATTAATAGATACAGGTATAGATTATTTATTGTAACCATTTCTCTTACAAAGTGGGACAATAATGGCAGAAGTTGACACATTGGAAATAAAACATTGCTTGAATCACTCACTATTGTCTGTGCATTCTTAAGAACCAATGATTCATAAATGAATTAAAGTACAGTGTACTCTCTTACACAGTTTTAACAAGACGTGTGTAACTGTGATTTTGATTGCATTAATAGACCTGTTCTACCTCCTGAAATTCATTGCCAGAATCATCACACAGTTTTCCATCCATCTATTTTCCAAGCAACGGGTCCAATGTGGGTACAGCGTAATATAAATGACATTTATTGCTTTTTTAAATTGTTAAGGCTTATACATTGCTTCCTGGATACATCATGGAAACAATGTATAAACCTTGTCATCATGGCATCATGGTTCTTAAGGCTTATACATTGTTTCCATGATACATTGCAGAACAATTTTCCATGAGGATAAATAAACTTAATCTTACTGGAGCTGCCAGATAGGAAAGTTTCAAATAATTTTTAAATAGCAAGCATAAACTATGCAAAAGCGGCAGCCGATTTGTATAATTGAACTTTTGTCTGTGTTATTATAGTCCTGGTCTCCTTACTTCTTGAGCATGAGAACAGACTAATGCTAACCGTTCTGATTGGTGGCTAAAACCACTTGTGGGTTTATTTTCATGGTGGTACACCTGATGATGCTGTTTGAGTTGCTGCTGGCATTATTTTCCAAAGTCTGGCTGCTCGGATCTTCCTTCTGCTCCGTGCTTGTCAGCTTCATCAAGATGCTTTTATATGCCTTCTTAATCTTTGGGACCTTAAAAGCGTACACTATGGGGTTAACTGCGGAGTTGGCGTGAGAGAGGAGGATGCCGATGTGAAAGGCGACAGCGGGCACTTTGACAATCTCGTAATAGTCAAGCGTGTTCATTATGTGCAGCGGGATCCAACAAATGACAAACAGAACCAGCACCAAAGCCAGAGAATTGGCCAGTCTCCGTTCCTTACGGTAATACGACCTGGACTCCACGGGGCGCCCGACCTCCTTTCTCAGCTGTTTGGATATCATGTTGAAGAGTAACAAGTACAGGGCCATCATAATGATGGTGGGTGGCAGTATGCAAGCGAAGAAGTTGAAGTTGACCATATACGTCATGGGTATAACACTGATGAAATTACATGTAATAGTGGTGTTTTCTCTTGTTGTGGTGTCTTTGTTGTGCCATCCGAACATGGGGATGAAGCCTAGTAAACAAGCAGAGAGCCAACAAACAGTGACTGCGCCCCACAGGTGCTGCTTTTTGACTGATCCTTTGTACCTGAAAATCAATGAGAAATTATATTTATATATCTTCAGCGGTACTGTGTATGTATGTTTATACACTACCTTTCAAAAGTTTGGGTTTGGTAATATTTTTTGGTAATACTTTTCAGTAAGGCTTCATTAGTTAAAGGGTTAGTTCACCCAAAAATGAAAATTCTGTCAGTAATTACTCGCCCTCATGTTGTTCCAACCTAACACAGTCTCATCCCAAGTCGTCATATAAATGACGTCTTTTGACCATACGTCAACATCCGCCTTTTTAGGGTACCCTTAAACGTCGGTTAGTTGACGATCCCGGGCCGTCATACAACTGACGCTTTACCTTTAACGTCAGTTAGGTGACGGGGTAGGTTTAGGTCTGGGGTAGGGTTAGGATCCGATAACACCATCTAACCGACGTTTAAGGGTACCCTAAAAAGGCGGATGTTGACGTATGGACAAAAGACGTCCCAAGACGTCATATAACTGAGAGACTGCGCTGTCCAACCCCGTAAGACTTTCGTTCATCTTCGGATTAAATCTGAGAGCTGTCTCTGTCCCACAGAGAAGGAAATTAATAGTTGAATAAAGTTATTAGGGCCCGAGCACTAACAGTGCGAGGACCCTATTGAAACTGTTAGGGTTATTTTTAGGGCCCGAGCACTAACAGTGCGAGGACCCTATTGAAACTGTTAGGGTTATTTTTTTTTTTTTTCTTTTTTCTGCAAAGTAAGTGCCATTTTCGGGGCCGCAACATGCTCAAAAACTCACCAAATTTGGCACGCATGTCAGGACTGGTGAAAAATTTCGTATTTTGTGGGTTTCGCGGATGGGCGGGGCAAAATGGCTCGCTAGCGCCACCTAGAAAATTGGAAAAAATTAGCCCCTCGTCCACGTTCAACCTACATGCACAAAATTTGGTGGGGACGTGTATCATATCAAGACGCACAAAAAAGCCTCAATAACCCATACCCTAAACTCGACAGGAGGTCTGCCATTTTGAATTTGGCGGCCATTTTTGGACGATTTACAGACTCCGTACTTTAACGAACTCCTCCTAGGGATTTAGTCGGATCGACTTAAAATTTCTGCTGTGCCTTCTAAAGGCATTGACGATGTAAAGTTGTGCTATCTGCGCATTTTCGTCGATGGGCGTGTCCGTGGTGTCGAAGATTCGCCATGAAACAGGAAGTTGTAGTAACTTGGCTGTAAATGCCCAGATCTGCACGAAATTTTACACATTTGACAAGAGTCCCGCCCTGAACAAATCTACATGCCGACATTCACCCACAGTCATAGCGCCACCTGCTGGCAACAGGAAGTGTCCTTTAACGAAGCAGCCCCCGCCGCTTGTTGGACCGACATGTACGAAATTTCTGTGGTACTTCTACCATGACCAGACGCACAAAAAAGCCTCAAGAACCCATACCCTAAACTCGACAGGAAGTCCGCCATTTTGAATTTGGCGACCGATTTGGGACGATTTACACACTCCGTACTTTAACGAACTCCTCCTAGGGATTTAGTCGGATCAACTTAAAATTTCTGCTGTGCCTTCTAAAGGCATTGACGATGTAAAGTTGTGCTATCTGCGCATTTTCGTCGATGGCCGTGGCCCTGGCGTCGATGATTCGCCATGAAAAAGGAAGTTGTAGTAACTTGGCTGTAAATGCCCAGATCTGCACAAAATTTAACACATTTGACAAGAGTCCCGCCCTGAACAAATCTACATGCCGACATTCACCCACAGTCATAGCGCCACCTGCTGGCAATAGGAAGTGACCTTTAATGAAGCAGCGTAGCAAATTCACAGCCGCACCGGCTGAGCTGCAAAATATGCAACGCGGCCGCCTCACTTCCCGACGCGCTACAGGTGCGAGGGCCCGCCCATCGCTGCTTGCAGCTTTAATTTTATTTTTATTTTTTTTATTTTTTCTGCAAAGTAAGCGCCATTTTCGGGGCCTCAACATGCTCAAAAACTCACCAAATTTGGCACGCATGTCAGGACTGGTGAAAAATTTCGTATTTTGTGGGTTTCGCGGATGGGCGTGGCAAAATGGCTCCCTAGCGCCACCTAGAAAATTGGAAAAAATTAGCCCCTCGTCCACGTTCAACCTACAAACACGAAATTTGGTGGGGACGTGTATCATATCAAGATGCACAAAAAAGCCTCAAGAACCCATACCCTAAACTCAACAGGAAGTCGGCCATTTTGAATTTGGCGCCCATTTTGGGACGATTTACACACTCCGTACTTTAACGAACTCCTCCTAGGGATTTAGTCGGATCGACTTCAAATTTCTGCTGTGCCTTCTAAAGGCATTGACGATGTAAAGTTGTGCTATCTGCGCGTTTTCGTCGATGGGCGTGTCCGTGGCGTCGAAGATTCGCCATGAAACAGGAAGTTGTAGTAACTTGGCTGTAAATGCCCAGATCTGCACGAAATTTTACACATTTGACAAGAGTCCCGTCCTGAACAAATCTACATGCCGACATTCACCCACAGTCATAGCGCCACCTGCTGGCAACAGGAAGTGACTTTTAACGAAGCAGCATAGCAAATGCACATTTTGGCTGAGCTGCAGAAAATGCAACACGGCCGCCTCAGACCCCGGAGTGCTACAGGTGCGAGGGCCCGCCCATCGCTGCTTGCAGCTTTAATTTTTGTTTGTTTTTTGCGCACAAAAAGTATTCTCGTCTCTTGATAAACTTAAGGTTGAGCCACTGTAGTCACTCTGACTATTTTAACGATGTCTTTAATAACTTTTCTGGGCCGGCCAGTTTCGATCCCTTAAGAAGGCCTACACTCTGAAAAATGCTGGGTTGTTTTAACCCAATTACTGGGTTTGTCAATATTTGATCCAAATTTGGGTTGAAATAACCCAGCATTTTGCAGGAGTGATCCGGCTCTCAGATTTAATAAAAAATATCTTAATTTGTGTTCTGAAGATGAACGAAAGTCTTACAGGGTTGGAACAACATTACTGACAGAGTTTTTATTTTGGGGTGAACTATCTCTAAGGTATGGGCGAAAGGTGAATCATCTGAATAAATAAATGCATTCTTGCTAAAGTCCCAAAGCTTTCAGACCCTAAAAGCCTGAATGTAAATTACACACACAAGCTGTGTGCAAGGCTGCAAGCTTCAAACAGATCGCTATCTCCTGAGAGCAAGGCCAGAGAGCCCTTTACAACTACGCGCACACATAAACAGACATTCCTTCAGTGAAATCTGTAACTTGACTAATTCTGAAAAGAATATGATATATTCCTGTATTACCATGTGATAACTGTATTAACATGTACCTAATGTTACATCTCATGATTTTACTAGATGCGTTTAACAAACTCTGATGACCTAATGTCCAAACCAGAATAGGATGTGTGGCATATTTGGTCTCTATAACCTGGTACTTTGAAGATCAAAATGATTGTATACTTGATGTGTCTGCAACAGCAACATATTAGTAGTAAAAGCATCTTTCATATGTTTCTTCATCAGCTAACACCCCCACCCCAGAGTGCACACGCCACGAACAATCTGGGAACAAAGAGCCATAAACCAACACGAAGAGGTTGGACTTCTTCAAGGTAATAAATGGCATCTCCCCCCTTCTCCTCTCTCTTGTCCTCAATCTTCTTCCTGATTTTATCATGTAACTCTTTGTGTTTTTTTTTTAAAGTATTCTACCTAGTTCATTTCCACAGACAAGTAAATGAACTTAGCTGAATTGTTTCTTTGGTAATTTAGGTCAAAGACCTTTAAACTTTCGTTTGAAAGTCTGCGCGCCTCAAACCACCACAAACCACAACCTCAAACTTAACACAAAGACAACCATATACACTTGCAAGTATATTTCTTTATCGAGCTTTCAGAGCATTAAGATCGTGTTTTTCCGTGTTATCTTGTTAAATGTTTGCATATATATACCCCATGTAACGTTAGTAACTGTATTTAGTCTGCCTTTATTAAATTCATTGCATTCATTAATTGATTCATGTCTCTTGCTCATATACAAGTCACTTTAATGTTGCGATCCCACACGCTTTAAAAGTATAAAAGTACTTTAATCCGTTTTAATTATGTATTGATATACAATTGAGCTCATATTTACAGGTCTGTTTAACGTGGTCTATGCAATTACTTACAATCAATTTGTGGTTTATTGTCGAGGTACACATGAATGCAGATGCACACTCTAAAAAAATGCTGGGTTGTTTTAACCCAATTTTGGGTCAAATATGGACAAACCCAGCCATTGGGTTAGATTTTTAAATTACATTTTTAACCCAATGTTTGAGTTTGTCCATATTTGACCCCAAATTGGGTTAAAACAACCAAGCATTTTTTTTTTGATTTTTTAGATTTACTGTTAATACTGACGAGCTTACATTTGTAGGCTACACTGTGATATATATAACAGTATATATAGGATATACTGTGATATACACTGTGATAAATCTCAGATTTAATCAAAAATATCTTCATTTGTAGTGTTGAAGATGAACAAAGTTGTTACGGGTTTGGGACAACATCGGGATGAATAAATAATGACAGAATTGTAATTCTTGAGTGAACTAACCCTTTTATGTCACATTCTGGAAGCATTTGGGAGGAAAATGTCTAAAACACAACCACAAGTGCTCCAATCCTCCTTATGAGGAATATCTTTGCCAGCTCTGTGTTTGCTACAGTAGTTTTCTGTGTTGGTCAATGGCAACACGATGGTGTCAGGCAAAACGAGTGAGCTATTTTGATTGCACATTATAGAATAAATGCATTTTTTTAACATTTAATATAAAACCATTCAAATGATGTCCATTTCACACCTAAATGAGTTCATTTTTCAGGTTGCATGCTATTCATGTAATAAAAAGAAGTATGCATCCTTTCTGAGAAATGCTTAGGTTTGCATGAGAAATGCTTAAGGATTTCCTCCTTATCAGTAAGCTTGATCAATTTTGCACTCAATATGAAGTAACATGACTATTAAAAGGTCAAACCTGAGAGGCTTATAAACACGCAGGTATCGGTCCACAGCGATGGCCAACAAGGAGTGAACGGAGGCCTGGGTCAACACAATGACCACACAGCTGATGAAGAGGCAGCAGTGGAAAGTAGTCTCCAGCCGTCCATCAACTATCACTGCGAAAGGCACAGCAACCATCCCCACCAGAAAATCAGCCAGCGCCAGCGACACTATGAAGCAGAACGTGGTCTGACTCAGGGCTCGACACGACCACACGGCCCAGATCACCAGCATGTTCCCCAGACAGCATCCCACAGCGATGAGCACCTCCAGAGAGGTATAGATCACCTTCTCACCATCAGACATTGCAGAGGACACTAAAAGAACTCTACAGGAACTTACATGAAATGGTCGTGGTTAAAATAGGAAGTTGTCTTCACTCTCTCACACACAACCAAATATGCACACACACTTAAGATTTTTTGCTTGATTAGTACTTTTGTGTGGCTTGTATGTACAAGTAGACAGTGTATTGTTTATTTTTTTGAAGGAAATTCATACTTGTATTCATGCATTAAATTGCTCAAAAGTGACGGTGTTACAAAAGATTTCCATTTCAAGTAAATGCTGTTCTTTTGAACTTCTCATTCATGAAAGAATCCTGAATTTCCACAAAAAAATGAAGCTTTCAACATTGATAATAATCAGAGAGTACTTGAGCAGCAAAACATCATAGAGTGATCTCTTCAGGATCATGTGACACTGAAGACTGGAGTAATGATGCTGAAAATTCAGCTTTGATCACAGGAATAAATTACATTTTAGCCTAAAACAATAACAAACAGGTCTTTTTTTAAAGTTGTGAGAAATATTTTACGATATTACTGTTTTTTTACTCTATTTTTGAATGCATCAAATGTAGCCTGGCATAAGAGACTTCTTTCAAAAACATAAAAAATATATATATTTTGAACAGTAGCCTACTGTACGTATATAAAATATCAGTTTCTGGATGTGTGTTGTATCTATAAATTTGATGTGCTCTATTTCTCTGTTGGGCGCTGCTGTGCGGCATCAAATTGTGGCCAATCTCGTGTCTAGTAAAGCAGGAAGTTGTTGGTTTGTTTCCTGCTAGACACCAGTCGAAATCAAAACTGACCCTATTTAAATTCAACTCTGTTATCAAAGTGTAGTTTATTTTCTCCTCCTCTGACATCATTTTCCTTTTCGACTGGATCCTATATAGACCATGCAGACTATTGGCAAGTAATGATTTGAAAAAGACAGAAAAAAAGTGTTGGCATTGGGATATCTGCTCTTGCTTGTCGTTTATGTCTATCACAGTAAGGTTTCCTTTTGATTAGTTTTGTTTCATGTTTTATGACTATGCAAATAAAATGTGACATTTGCAATTTTCCGGGAAACAAAAATAGGATTAAGCAAGTTTCATTCGATCTCAGACTTCTTGGTTTCAATTAAACAGTTCCCACTTATAATGCACACTGCAAACCACCCACAAAACTGACCTCAAACCTTTTCATCCAGATGGGCACAGCAGGGCTGTAACCACTAATAATTATAAAAATTATTGAACCCATTTGACTTGCAATACATTCTGGTTTTGTGAACAAAATTGTATGAAAACACTTTAACTAAGCCATCAGTAAACCAGAAAGTCTGAGAACATAATGTTCAAAAAATCAAACTGGCTATAAACATCCATAGGCCTATACAAAATTATTCAACTCCCAAAAGTACATTTTTGTAGAGAATCCTTTACTCTCATAGTACACATCGATCACTGTCATCACTGGTAGTTTCTATGGTGATGGTTACTTTAGACTCAACTCTGGAGTAGGAGCTGATTTAGTTCCTCTAAAAGGAGTTCCTAGAACTAAAATTATTCATAGTTCCTGTGATGCGATCATGCCAAAAAAAAAAAAAAAAAAAAAAAAAAAAATTACTTCCACCAAAAACCTGTAAAATTACCACCGCTGGAGAGACCTAAGCAGGCAGGCCTGAAAGCAAATGCAGAGGTTACATTGTTCTTAGCTTCATATGTTGAGTAACATTGGTTTTGCTATTTCACAGAATCAAGATATGCTGTTGCTATAATGTTAGCTGTAGTAACAGGACAGTTTGAAGTGTCATTGTTTGTTTGGAGCTGTTGGCGACTAACAACCAACTCTTGTATTTAGTCTTCTGTACTGTATGTTTTTCCTTGTCGTTCATTCATCATCTTTTTATTTTTTTGAGAAGCATTATTTTGCTTGACTTCAGCTATGATAAAGAGACATCCACTCTTGCATTGCTTGTTCATGCATTTGTGGGCGGTGCAATGAAGGGAGGGGCGTGTTTGTTTGTATCAACAGTGTTTCTCAGAAATCACTAACTGCACCTTTCAAAGATCTTTAATTTTAAGAAATATTTCTCTCTGGCAGGTACAATTCTACAGTCACTAGAAGCGCACCTGGATCATCGCCGCTTTGTGCTGGATACTGGCGTCCGTACTGAGCTTCTTACCGATGTTTGGATGGTACAACCATGACACACTGGCACATTACAATTCCACCTCCATAGACTGTCAATTCATTGCTGTCATTCCTGATTCATACCTGGTCCACTTCATCTATGAGTGTTGTTTTCTTCCTCTGCTGGCAGTCATGATTACTTTGTATGGCTATATCTTTCTTAAAAAGAGACAGTCGAGGGGGAGAGCAGGTGTGGCGGCTGAAACTGGTGAATATAACCAAAGGGAACAGAAACTGGCCAGATCTCTGGTTTTGGTTTTGGCTCTTTTTGTTGTTTGCTGGCTTCCGTTACACTTGATACAAGCCATCAGATACTACCAGAATATACATGTACCGTCTATAGCTGTATACTTTCTCATGGTTAACCCTGTAAGGTATGCCTTCAAAATCCCTAAGATTAAGAAGGAGTACAGGAAGATTTGGAGGAGGGTGATTGGTCGAGAGCAGCAGGCAGATATAAACGCTCCTGCTAATAATACCTCAAACAGCTGGAGGAATACAAATTTGTCTCCAATGGTATGAAACCTGAAAGTTTAGTAGATGATTATTGAGTCTCCAGCGAGAGTCTCCTTTCCCGATAGTCCTGTTTTTTGATTGGATTAGCTATAAGGGAGACTTCCACCTTTTTGTCTTTAGTGGCTCTGGGATGGGTCTCTGGAACCAGAGTTCCTGGCTACTATCAGCAATTGAATAGTTATGCTGTTTCAATTGGATTGGTAATGCCCTCAGGGTGTGTTCCTTCTTCATTTCAAGAGTCTCCTTCTCAATGTAACTCCTCCAGATTAGCATCTGAAGGCACAGAAACCTGCTATGCTGATGAACTGATGTGCCTGTTGAATCATTTACATTTGCTTTGTTTCAAGAGTCTCCTCCTCAATGTAATCCTGCCCCCTTTTTAAATGTATAAGAATAGTTCTGTATTCTAAGTTAGTTAGACTTATTTTGAGATGACACAGCGACTCAATAAATACATAATTTCTACAAGGAAAGAAAAGTTTCTTACACAGCCATGATGGAGTTCATGGGAAAATCAGTCCAGAGATGGGAGTCAATAGCATTAATTTGACTTAATTCCATGTGCGTACATCAAACGTACCAAAAGAAGGGGGGATTTATATGATTTTCTTATAGTGTTATTGCAGTATTGATATTTCAAACCTTTCGAACTTTTCGTACCTAAACTAATATTGACAGGTTGAAGTTACCCTGTTGTGCCAGTAGGGCTCCTCCAAACACCACTTTTAAAGTCTGAGAGTAACTGACTTTTTTGATAAGAATCTATGTGGTTATACCCTCTCTCTCCTTATTTCTTATTTTATCTTTCTGTTCTCTTATGCAACACTGATTGTATTATGTTTTTATGTAATAATATTGGTTAAATTCTGTACATGCTATTTGCAGTTAGCAAAGCATTAAAAAATCCTGTACTCTCGCTTACAAGCTTTTGACGCCCTCTACTGGAATCTTAGGCCATTGCATGTGTGCAAAAGCTTCAAGCTCATTGATATTTTTGGTTTCTGTGCTGCCACCTCACCAAAGATTTAAGGACATTTTAATCTGGAGACTGAGCAGGCCAGGACTGACCCCTGAACGAAGCTTTGGTAGATTTCGATGTGTACTTGGGATCATTGTCCTGACCGTGAAGAAAATGTTTTTCTGGTCATAAGTCGAGCCTTTTTTGGCTTAGAGTTGAGTCTTTTCCCGCTTCTGATACATTCTAGATTATTGTGATCGGTCCATAAGATAAAAAGGTACCTCTGACCCTTCTAACCAGTGACGCCATTCTTCCAGCGCTAACTTGACTGCCAACAACCCTCTGTTACACGTCATTGACGAGTGCCTGGAAGACCGCTGGGGAGTTGGACAGCCCGAAAGGCATGACCAAGTATTCAAAGTGCCCCCTGGGGGTATTGAATGTGGTCCTTCCTTATGTGGACCAAATGATAAGCGTTACGTAAATCCAACCCGATCTCACGACCAAGTCGTACGAATTCGACGAATGATTAAAAAGTGGCTAATTCGTAACAATTCATACGACCTCACTCGTACGAATTAATACGATTTTGCTAAATCGTACATATTTTACGAATTGGCCAATTCGTATGAATTCGTACGAATGACCTACCCCTTACCCCGCCCCTAAACCTAACCATCACGTGGGTTTAGACAAATCGTACGAATTAGTACGAGTGAGGTCGTACGAATTAGCCACTTTTTAATCATTCGTCGAATTCGTACGAATTGGTCGTGAGATTGTGTTGCGTAAATCCAATTTTGTGAAGACGGATGCTCCCTGTAATCGCTCGAGGGCTGAAGTCATCAACGGTAAAGGATAAGTGTTCTTTACTGTGATGTTGTTCAACCTCCAGGAATCAATACAACCCCGCCCCCGCTGGAGATGAGGATGGATGAATGAACCCGGATGCTAGAGAATCAGAAATATATTTCTCCATAGCCTCTCTTTCTGGAACAGAAAGCAAATATAACTCACCTGAGACTCAGCAGTGAGACTCACCTATGGCACAGTCATAGGGACAATGCGGAGAAGGAGAAGCAGCACGGGACTTACTGAACACTTCCTTCAGATCCAGGCACTCCTCGGACACGTTAGACAAATTCACTGCCTTCTCCTAAAACACAGAAAAAGACACAGACGAACACGCAGACACCAGACATGACTCATGACACATATTACTCCAAGCCAACAGAATTGGGACCCCAGTTGATTCTGGGGTTGTGTTGAGTGAGCCAGGGGTAACCGAGTATTAAAGGCGCAAGCGGTGAGTCCATGAGAAGAAAGGTTATAGTCTCAGTGTGGTTGCCAGATGTGATGAGTGTGATGGATTCAGTGGTGTGTGAAATGTTGCGGAGTTCTTGACCATTGAGAGCGTTGACGGATATCTTCCGTCGGGAGTGGGGACACGGGGATCTGAAGTTGGTGAGCAAGTCTTGAGTCAATGAAATTACCTTCAGCCCCAGAGTCAAGTCAAGTCACATTTATTTATATAGCGCTTTTCACAATACAGATTGTATCAAAGCAGCTTCACATTGATAACATGAAAGTAGTACAACACAGATCAATAATATTGTTAAATATTAAATATTAAATATCCCCAAGATGATATTTAAGTGAGAGGCTGGATACAAAACTGGACCTGACGAATGCCATTTTTCTCGGGACAAGTGTCCCGAGATAACAGCAGAAAGGCAGATGGGAAATAATTAGCATAGCTGATGTTCATAATGATTTCCATTATACGGGAGTCGGTGTTAGAAAACCACTATCTCACAAACTCTCCGCAACCCAACCATACGCGCCGACCCGTTTGACTAAGGCTGTCGAGCCCCACTGTCGCGGAAATGCGTTTCAGTGGCAAACGGTTCCGGTACGGCATAACAGAGGACTAAAAGGTAAGCATTATGTGAATGCTTGACTAAAGAGATGCGTCTTTAATCTAGTTTTAAACTGTGTCAGCGAGTCAGAGCCTCGGACCGCATCGGGAAGGCTATTCCAGAGTTTTGGAGCTAAATGCGAGAACGCCCTCCCTCCTTTAGTGGACTTAGATATCCTAGGAATGGCCAGAAGCCTTGAATTTAGTGATCTTAAGGAATGCGGTGGATTGTAGGGCGAAAGAAGGTCCGTTAAGTATAGGAGCTAAACCATTTAGGGCTTTATAGGTAGTATTTTGTAGTTGATACGGAACTTAATAGGTAACCAGTGTAGAGATGATAAAATCAGTGTTATATGATCATATTTTCTTGACCTATAGTAAGAACTCTAGCAGCTGCATTTTGTACTAAATGTAGCTTGTTTATTGAGGATGCAGGACAACCGGCTAATAAAGCATTACAGAGTCCAGTGAAGCCTTGGTGTTTTGTGTGTGGGTAGCCTCATAGTTACTATCGGGATTGATTTTTGTGAACGATCTTTATTATTTGGCTTTGATAAACAGAGTCCTTGGGATCTCCGCTTTTCTCTCTTCTCCCGGGAAAGCCGAGCTCTGCTCACCTGCATGGGCTCGTGATCGAGGACGAGGCTGACCGCGTCCCCGCTGCAGACGCGGGAGTCCTCCACACCACCATAATGACGAGTCTGATAAAAACGGCTCATCTTGCTCAACAAAGCATCAAATTAAGTTCAGTTTTTTGTGTGAAATATCAGCAGTCTGACCCTATAGCCAGTCTATAGCCAGTCAGCAGCATATCACCAGTCTGACCCTATATATACATTATGACTGTAAAGCTTCATTATGAAGGTACAAATCTTTCTGTAACAGATCTTTCTTTGATGAAATGAAAAAAATCAACAACCTTTTTTCATGCTTAAGACAAGACTAAACTCACAAATCAACATCCAATCTTGTTAACGGAAAAAGAAAGTAGTCTAAACATCTACAACAACAAAAGTAGTCTTTTTCCGGAAGAGATCTGTAGGTGTGAAAGTTTTCTGCAGAGAATAAATATAGCCTCTGTATATCCCCTTTACTTAAATTAACAGCTATTTGTAACACTCTCAAGGTCCTGTTTCCACTTCTGTAACCAAAATGGTATTAAGTGGAGGGATGATTTACATCTCTCTTGAAGTGCTCATCGCTGTGGGATGCTGTCTGGGCAACGTGCTGGTGATCTGGGCCGTGTGGAGGAGCGGAGCCCTGAACCAAACCCCTTTCTGCTTGATCGTGTCTCTGGCGATGGCAGATTTCCTGGTTGGGGCCGTGGCCATTCCTCTGGCTGTGGTTGTAGACGCCCTCTTGAAGATCCCTTTCCATGCCTGTCTGTTCATCAGCTGTGTCCTGATCGTCCCGCAACAAACATCAGTGCTCACCCTTCTGGCCATTGCTGTGGATCGTTGCCTGCGGGTTGGTATCCCATTCAGGTGAGTCAGCCTACAGATGATTTTGAATGGCTTTAATTAACGTCAAGCTTGTTGAAGACACAAACAGCTTTTGTTTTATCTTTCAATTAATGTAATGCAGTTTAGGTATGCTTAGTTGTCATAGTTGTGGCCAATCAGCAGTAGAGAGTATAAGAAATTATAGTCTGCTCCAATAAAACTTCCACTCCAATATACAGTATATATGTAAATGTTCCTTCACTTATAAGAGACTATTCCTTCCAATCTCAGCAATATACAGTGATGTAAATAAGTTTGGACACCCATGCTAAAGTTGCCTAAAAAGAGGAATAAAAAATCATCTTTTGGATATTGATCTTAATGCCTTAATTAGAAAAATGAAGAAAACTCCAACCAAATTTTCTTTGTGAATTAATACTGTATCATAAATAAATAAATGTTTTCCTTAAAATACAGGGTGCATAAGTCTGGGCACCCCTATGTTAAATTCCCATAGAGTCAGGCAGATTTTTATTTTTAAAAGCCAGTTATTTCATGGATCCAGGATAATATGCATCCTGATAAAGTTCCCTTGGCCTTTGGGATTAAAATATCCCCACATCATCACACACCTTCCACCACACCTAGAGATTGGCATGGTTTTACTTCAGTTAGCCTAATAGCTGGTTTGATTCGCATTGAAAGATGATCTTATGGAAAGTACCCCATGCCAATCTCTAGGTGTGGTGGAAGGTGTGTGATGATGTGGGGATATTTTAAACTTATGCACCCTGTATTTTAAGGAAAAACATTTATTTATTTATGATACATTATTCATTCACAAAGAAAATTTGTGTCCTTAAAGGTTGGAGTTTTCCTCATTTTTCTAATTAGGGCATTAAGATCAATATCCAAAAGATGATTTTTTGTTCCTCTTTTTAGGCAACTTTAGCACAAACTTATTCACATCACTGTATAAATAGTATCACAGAGTTACGGTTATCACCTATAGTGTGGGTGTAGTGTAGAGCGGATGCAGGCAATCTAGAACCATCTTGATTACAGGGACTTTCAATAAATGTCATCACTTATCATTTGGCCGTTCTTATTTGAATGAATATCAAAGATGTGGGCACAGAGGGCTACCATTTTTTGTGGTTATCCTCAATTTACATTTAAGACAGAGCTTCACCTCCATGCTGAGAGGGAAGACGAATTTGTTATTCTAAATTTACATTTAAGACAGAGCTCCATTCACATGCTGAGGGGGAAGACGAATGTAGCTGATATTATTTCGGGGTTCATTCTTGCGCCGGTGATCCAAGTATCATGCTTCGTGTACGATGCCACTGCTATGCTGTGATAAACTTCATTTTTGAGATCTTCGACGTCCACATAAGGGTGTGTCCACTGATGATAGTGAGGAGAGAGTGTGAGCAAGAGGGAGATTTGAAGAAAGACTGTAGAAAGAGAGATGAATGAGAGACATTACAAAAGAGAAAATCTCAGAGGACTCTCAATGGATAAAGAAGGGATTTGATTAAAGAGCTTTAGGACCTGCGTGAATACAGGCTTTCGCACTATTAGCCAACCGGGTGGTTCCCCGCGGTTGCATTTGCACCTTTAGTGACGTAATCCGCCCTTGTTTTTGTGACTTTTATTTTGCCTGATCACACAGTGCTCCCATTCTCCGTCTTAGTTAGTTTACAATCTGTTTAACAATCTTGTACTTTATTAGATAGAACTGTTATACAAATAAAGTATATGTACTGTATATGTATATTAGCATTTGCCATGTGGTTGGTAGCTAACTCGCTACCTGAGCAGAAATGCATAGTCATGTTTCACTTGGTTCCCTCAAAGTTGCATTGGATTTTCTCCTTAGCAAGTTGAGAAGTTAATGTATCACTGTTTCCATGTTCATAGAGTTTGTGGAGTAAATATATAGGTTATAATCTGTGTATGTACACTGCTTTTTTAAATTAAATGGCGGGTGCTGGTGTTTCGCGTGCATTTGGCTAATCAGCGAACACTAACGTTGCTATTTCACAGAACCAAGATATGCTGTTGCTATAATGTTAGCTGTAGTAACAGGACAGTTTGAAGTGTCATTGTTTGTCTGGAGCTGTTGGCGACTAACAACCAACTCTTGTATTTACTCTTCTGTATTGTATGTTCATTTTTTGTTTTTCTTTGTCGTTCATTCATCATCTTTTTATTTTTTGAGAAGCATTATTTTGCTTGACTTCAGCTATGATAAAGAGACATCCACTCTTGCATTGCTTGTTCATGCATTTGTGGGCGGTGCAATGAAGGGAGGGGCGTGTTTGTTTGTATCAACAGTGTTTCTCAGAAATCACTAACTGCACCTTTCAAAGATCTTTAATTTAAAGAAATATTTCTCTTTGGCAGCTACAATTCTACAGTCACTAAGAAGTGCACCTGGATCATCGCCGCTGTGTGCTGGATACTGGCGTCCATACTGAGCTTCTTACCGATGTTTGGATGGTACAACCATGACACACTGGCACATTACAATTCCACCTCCATAGACTGTCAATTCATTGCTGTCATTCCTGATTCATACCTGGTCCACTTCATCTATGAGTGTTATTTTCTTCCTCTGCTGGCAGTCATGATTACTTTGTATGGCTATATCTTTCTTAAAATGAGACAGTCGAGGGGGAGAGCAGGTGTGGCGACTGAAACTGGTGAATATAAACATAAGGAACACAAACTGGCCAGATCTCTGGTTTTGGTTTTGGCTCTTTTTGTTGTTTGCTGGCTGCCGTTACACTTGATACAAGCCATCAGATACTATAACCAGAATATACATGTACCGTCCATTGCTTTATACTTTGGCATTCTCCTTTCTCATGGCAACTCGATGGTTAACCCTGTAGTGTATGCCTTCAAAATCCCTAAGATTAAGAAGGAGTACAGGAAGATTTGGAGGAGGGTGATTGGTCGAGAGCAGCAGGCAGATATGAACGCTCCTGCTAATAATACCTCAAACAGAGTTCATGGGAAAATCAGTCCAGAGATGGGAGTCAATAGCATTCATTTGACTTAATTCCATATACGTACATCAAACGTACCACAATAATGGGGGATTTATATTATTTTCTTAAAGTGTTATTGCAATATTGATTTTTCAAACCTTTCGCGCTTTTTTGACCTAAATTAATACTGACAGATTGCAGCTACACAATCTGTATTGTAAAAAGCGCTTTATAAATGAAGGTGACTTGACGTGTCTTCTAGCTGAATCTGGATAATAAAGGAGTGTGTAATATAATGCACGATAATATGGTTGTACTGTAATGCAAATATAAGCCTGCAGTCATGTTTAAAACTATCAAACTTTATATGTTTGTTGCACCTTTCCTGATTTTTATTTATTTATTTTGAAGCAATTATATAAGATGTGCAATAAAAAATTATAAACACATAATTCTATGATTTGTTATATTTTTCTTTTTAGAATAATACGCTTTATTCAGAAGAGACACTAAAAGTATCACCCAAATTATTTAAATTTTAGTATGCTTTTATTAGGACAAAAACTGTAGTTTTTTATTGCCAACGTGTGCAGAATACCTTTGAGAAATTGTGCAATGTAAAATAAACTGAATAAAAATAAGTCATATTAAAAAATAAAGTGAAATATCAGTAGTGCAAAATAAAATGGAATAACAAAAGAGTTCAGAGTAAACTAAGAAAGTATTCATCTTTATAATTAATACTTAATATGTAGCAGTTTTAAAGAGATCGTTCACCCCAAATTAAAAATGATGTCATCGTTTGCTCACCCTTAAGTTATTTCTTTCTTCTGCTGAACAGAAAAGAAGATATTTTGAAGAATGTCGGCAACCAAACAGTCGACTTCCATAGGATGAGAAATATATAAATTGTTGATGTCAATGGGGACCAGAAACTGGTTACCAACATTCTTCAAAATATCTTATTTTGTGTTCAGCTGAAGATAGAAACTCATAAAGTTTGGAATAACTTGAGGACAAAGTTTTCATTTTTAGGTGAACTATCCCTTTAAATAAAGTTTTCCATTCGATCCCGACTGGTTAACCCATTCAGACCCTGTGTCCATTACAATGGACATCACATGTCAGCCCCCTTTTTTTAACTTCTGGGTACCACTGTCGTTTTTTTTTCGGGTCGAAATTTTGAGTTTTGATATCTCAGCTCTGGAAGGGTCTAGAGCCTCCATTTTTGCACACAGGTCTAAGTCTCATGGCCCTCTGTCAGAATGCAGAGTTTTGAGAAGATCGGAGAAACTTAATTTTTCACCCGAAAAAAAAAAAAACGAAAGGGGTACCACTGTCTTTTTTTTTTTCGGGTCGAAATTTTGAGTTTCGATATCTCAGCTCTGGAAGGGTCTAGAGCCTCCATTTTTGCGCTCAGGTGTAAGTCTCAGTGCCCTCTATCAGAATCCAGAGTTTCGAGAAAATTGGGGATACTTAATTTTTCGCCCCCCCCCCAAAAAAACGTAAGGGGTAACACTGTCGTTTTTTTTTTCGGGTCGAAATTTTGAGTTTCGATATCTCAGCTCTGGAAGGGTCTAGAGCCTCCATTTTTGCACTCAGGTCTAAGTCTCATGGCCCTCTATCAGAATGCTGAGTTTTGAGAAGATCGGAGAAACTTAATTTTTCGCCCAGAAAAAAAAAACGAAAGGGGTACCACTGTCGTTTTTTTTTTCCGGGTCGAAAATTTGAGTTTCGATATCTCAGCTCTGGAAGGGTCTAGAGCCACAATTTTTGCACTCAGGTCTAAGTCTCATGGCCCTCTATCAGAATGCTGAGTTTTGAGAACATCGGAGAAACTAAATTTTTCGCCCGAAAAAAAAAAACCGAAAGGGGTACCACTGTCATTTTTTTTTTCGGGTCAAAATTTTGAGTTTCGATATCTCAGCTCTGGAAGGGTCTATAGCCTCCATTTTTGCACACAGGTCTAAGTCTCATGGCCCTCTATCAGAATGCTGAGTTTTGAGAAGATCGGAGAAACTTAATTTTTCGCCTGAAAAAAACCCCGAAAGGGGTACCACTGTCATTTTTTTTTTTGGGTCGAAATTTTGAGTTTCGATATCTCAGCTCTGGAAGGGTCTAGAGCCTCCATTTTTGCACTCAGGTCGTAGTCTCATGGCCCTCTGTCAGAATGCAGAGTTTTGAGAATATCGGAGGAACTAAATTTTTCGCCCGAAAAAAAAAAAACGAAAGGGGTACCACTGTCGTTTTTTTTTTCGGGTCGAAATTTTGAGTTTCGATATCTCAGCTCTGGAAGGGTCTAGAGCCTCCATTTTTGCGCTCAGGTGTAAGTCTCAGTGCCCTCTATCAGAATCCAGAGTTTCGAGAAGATTGGGGATACTTAATTTTTCGCCCCCCAAAAAAAACGTAAGGGGTAACACTGTCGTTTTTTTTTTCGGGTTGAAAATTTGAGTTTCGATATCTCAGCTCTGGAAGGGTCTAGAGCCTCCATTTTTGCACTCAGGTCTAAGTCTCATGGCCCTCTATCAGAATGCAGAGTTTTGAGAAGATCGGAGAAACTTAATTTTTCGCCCAGAAAAAAAAAACGAAAGGGGTACCACTGTCGTTTTTTTTTTCGGGTCGAAATTTTGAGTTTCGATATCTCAGCTCTGGAAGGGTCTAGAGCCACAATTTTTGCACTCAGGTCTAAGTCTCATGGCCCTCTATCAGAATGCTGAGTTTTGAGAACATCGGAGAAACTAAATTTTTCGCCCGAAAAAAAAAAAACGAAAGGGGTACCACTGTCATTTTTTTTTCGGGTCGAAATTTTGAGTTTCGATATCTCAGCTCTGGAAGGGTCTATAGCCTCCATTTTTGCACACAGGTCTAAGTCTCATGGCCCTCTATCAGAATGCAGAGTTTTGAGAAGATAGGAGAAACTTAATTTTTCGCCCAGAAAAAAAAACACGAAAGGGGTACCACTGTCGTTTTTTTTTCGGGTCGAAATTTTGAGTTTCGATATCTCAGCTCTGGAAGGGTCTAGAGCCACAATTTTTGCACTCAGGTCTAAGTCTCATGGCCCTCTATCAGAATGCTGAGTTTTGAGAACATCGGAGAAACTACATTTTTCGCCCGAAAAAAAAAAACGAAAGGGGTACCACTGTCATTTTTTTTTCGGGTCGAAATTTTGAGTTTCGATATCTCAGCTCTGGAAGGGTCTATAGCCTCCATTTTTGCACACAGGTCTAAGTCTCATGACCCTCTATCAGAATGCTGAGTTTTGAGAAGATCGGAGAAACTTAATTTTTCGCCTGAAAAAAAAAACGAAAGGGGTACCACTGTCATTTTTTTTTTTTGGGTCGAAATTTTGAGTTTCAAAATCTCAGCTCTGGAAGGGTCTAGAGCCTCCATTTTTGCGCTCAGGTGTAAGTCTCAGTGCCCTCTATCAGAATCCAGAGTTTCGAGAAGATCGGAGAAACGTAATTTTTTGCCCAGAAAATAAAAACGTAAGGGGTAACACTGTCGTTTTTTTTTTCGGGTCGAAATTTTGAGTTTCGATATCTCAGCTCTGGAAGGGTCTAGAGCCACAATTTTTGCACTCAGGTCTAAGTCTCATGGCCCTCTATCAGAATGCTGAGTTTTGAGAACATCGGAGAAACTAAATTTTTCGCCCGAAAAAAAAAAACGAAAGGGGTACCACTGTCATTTTTTTTTCGGGTCGAAATTTTGAGTTTCGATATCTCAGCTCTGGAAGGGTCTATAGCCTCCATTTTTGCACACAGGTCTAAGTCTCATGGCCCTCTATCAGAATGCAGAGTTTTGAGAAGATCGGAGAAACTTAATTTTTCGCCTGAAAAAAAAACCGAAAGGGGTACCACTGTCGTTTTTTTTTTTTGGGTCGAAATTTTGAGTTTCGATATCTCAGCTCTGGAAGGGTCTAGAGCCTCCATTTTTGCACTCAGGTCGTAGTCTCATGGCCCTCTGTCAGAATGCAGAGTTTTGAGAATATCGGAGAAACTAAATTTTTCGCCCGAAAAAAAAAAACGAAAGGGGTACCACTGTCGTTTTTTTTTTCGGGTCGAAATTTTGAGTTTCGATATCTCAGCTCTGGAAGCAGGGGCGTAGCACCAAATTCTGGGCCCTGTACACTCTCAATGTCAATGGGCCCCCTACACATGGCATTGTACGATGCGGGTTAGCAAAGTGAAAATTCAATTTTGAATGAAATGTATTTTTTTAATTATTTGAATATAAACAAATATAAACAGTGTTTAAATAATAAAATCAGATTATAGTAATGACTGGTTCTTTCATTCACCACCTGAATTGGCCTCATTTAGCCTACTTGTGCTCAAATACCTTTAAACCTTAGGCTACATCGGTTTTGTGTACTAACATTTTGATCCATGATACTGATGCAAGTTTTAAATGAAAAACATTTATTTTTAAATAGGAGAACACAAGAACACGAAAGACAACTGTACCATCAGAAACCAGGTTAAACTGATGCTACCAACTTTCTCAGTTGGTCGCATCAGCATTTGATTTCGTCGCGGTTATTTTTTATTTTTTTTGCTACATGCCATGGGATTAATCAATGCATGCCGATGAATAGTGGTTTTAATGGACCAAAGCCAGCAAAGGCTTACCATAAATACCTATAATATATTAATTATCATTGCCAAATTTCAGGATTTTCATGGATTTTGGACAGTAATTTTAATCTGTAATTTTAAGAATTTTACATTTGAATTACATTCAATCTATCTATTTACATTTGAATCATAATCTTCTGTGTCTGTCATTTTTCTATTAGCATCATATTTCTATCTTTTAAAAATCATTAAACATTCAAATGTACATTACATTTTAAAAGATTAGAGTATTACAACAAGCTAAAACAGATTTTTCGTTATCAAATTTTATAAGTTAGTTCAAAAATCAGAAATCTCACACTCCTTACCTCCTGCATTTTGTAATAATTTGTTTCCTGAGACATTTTCATTTTTATATTTTTATTCATGAATTCGTAATTGGCGTGTTCCACCATCAGTGTGCAATGCGCGCGTGACGTCTATGTGTCTTGCGGAAGAACACTGTTGCCGGAGCTACTTCTCTCCATTAATGTCTATGGCGAGTCACGCAGTCACTGGGCAACTTCGCATCCGAGTCAACCCCGGGAATCCGGGATAAAAAAAATAGTCCGAATATAAACACTTATAACAGGCGTAGTGATTCAGGATAAGTCAAAAACACGGTTTGGAAAATGGATTCATGATGTAGCCTACTCGTTCGTTTTGAACATAAGTTACGGACTGCAGTCTGCAGCAGCTGATACAACGGTCGGTGTTCTTTTGCGCGAGCGTCCACTCGTAAATATGCGACGCGACCACATCACATACAATTTTAACTCGCACAATCAAATTCTCAAAAAAATGGTCGCA